CAACATTGTAGAGTTCCATGATATTTTGTTTGTCTCAGTTATTTCATATTAAATGTCCTGTTTATAAGTAAATATTTTTTCCTGTTGGCAATGTTGCATACTCAACTCTGAGATCTAAAAGTCAGTCTGGGTTCTTTTCTTTTTATATATAATCACCAGTAATAAATTCTGCAGACTAAATTCTGTCCTCATTTATAGTTGGAGAAACTAATTGTCTTCAGAAGGGATAATGAAGGTGTAACTGCAACTGTTGTGTGCTGCAACTGAAATATAATTGAATAAGGCTGCTTGAGCCAGAATTGAATCCAGCTCCCCCTTTTGTCTGAGTTGGTTCTAATAATGAGTAAAAAGCAAAAGCAAATATTTTTAATGGCAAGGTAACTAGGTATGCACCAGTCTGGAAATTCTGTAAGTGCCTTAGGTACATTAAATACAAAGTTTTAAAATTTAAATATGAAAATGAATAATAAAATCAACACTGTGTTTTTCTTTCGTTTCAATAAAATAATTGACTTTGTAGATGATGGGAAAATATGTAACTCTTGACAAATCATCCAGTGGGTCAACAGCCAGATGATTTATTTTACTTGCTATCAGTGCTCAAAGTGCACACAGAATTTTTTGCAGAAGATGGGACTGAAATGGTGGAAACCCTCCAGCAGGTCCAAATGTATGTAGTAGTTTTGAAAAGTGAGATGGACACAGAGTGAAACAGAAGCTTTAGAGTTAACACTGAATTGAAATTATTTTGATACACCTCTAACCCGATATAACGTGGTCCTCGGGAGCCAAAAAATCTTACCGCGTTATAGGTGAAACCGCGTTATATCGAACTTGCTTTGGCCTCGAGCACCTCCGTTATTCATAGTCAGCAAATAGCCCTGCCCCCATCCAACCCCCACCTACTTCCTGCCCCCCTGACTGACCCCTCAGAACCCCTGACCCATCCAACCCCCCCATCCCTAATCACCCCCAGGACTCCCACGCTGAGCCACGCGCCGCACCGGGATTGGTACTAGGACCCGGGGAGCCGGCGCACGGAAACGTTCACACCTGCTCGACCACATCAGCTGGGGCAAGCCCCGCAGGGGCGGGGCAGGGGGAACTGGCCCGGCAGCCGCTGCCCGGTCCGCGGAGCATGCCCAGCCAAGTGCAGCAGTTGAGCCCACGATGGGGAGCAGGGCAGGCAGCCTCACCCGAGGTGCTCACGTGTGCCTGGTCCCCGCCCCGTGCCCACGCAGTGCCAGGGGAGGGGGAGCTATCGGCGGGCGGCTCCTGCCGTGCGTGCCCACGCTCAGCCCGTCTCTCCTCCGCAGAGCCCCACACAGCCCATCTCTGGTGAGGACGCTGTGGCCAGCTGTCCGCTGGGGCACATGGAGCCCCTGACTGCGGGCAGGTAGTGCGGCGCGCTGTGGACCCAGAGAACCCGCCCGGCGCTGCTGCGAGCGGGGCGCAGCCTGCCAGTTGGGCCCGCTGTGTGCCAAGCCCTCCAGCACCGGGACAGGGGCACCTGCACGGCACCGTCTAGGACAGGCACCTCTCCCTGCCCTGGATCTGCAACTTCCCCGCATGGACCAGTCTTCCTCAACTTCTCGGCACCGGCTGGAGCCCATGTGACGTTCCCCTGCACTGCAGCTCCCCTCCTCGGGCTGTGGCTCTCCCATGCTCCCTGTCCCCTGACCGCCCCCCCCAAGACCCTCTGCCCCTTATCCAACCCCTCGGCCCCGGCCTGGCACCCTTAACACCCCACTCAGAGCAGCGTGTCGGAGCCTGACACGCTGCTCTGCTGGAGCGCCCAGCCCCGCCCCCCAGAGCGCTGCTTTACCGCGTTATATCTGAATTCGTGTTCTGTCGGGTTGCGTTATATCGGGGTAGAGGTGTAGTTTACACCTGTCCTAAGGGGTGAATCCTCTCCATGACCATGAAGAGATGCCTGTTAACGGCATTACTGTGCTTCTGCTGCTGAGATGTGGCCCGTGTATGGAAATGTGCATCCCTTCAGTGCCAAGGAGCTTAGCTGCATGAAGGCAACCTGCATGCTGCTGTAGAGCAGGCCTTTGGAGGTAGCTCTAGTGTACAACTATACGCTCCTGTAAAAAACTGAGTATTTAGAACCCTTAACTTCAAACTTTCGATAGTGCTAACAGTACTAACTTGTTTGCACACTATTTGACCTCCAAATTCCACTTGACTATTGTTCTCCAGTCTTATTTGAGAGAGCTTGTCCATGTTATCAAACAGGGAGACAACTGGTATGAATAAAATGGAATTATTAGAAGAAGTCTGACCTTCACCAAATATTAACCTTTGGAATTTGAAAAGGCATTTGGAGTACATTATTTTAATTGTCTGCAGATGTCCTTGAAGCCAAGATGCAAAACAAAAGCAGGGTAATGTATTACATACTGGAATTAGGAGGAGTACACTGCTCTTGATTTGTCATATGTACCCAACCAGAAAGTAAAAAAATGTTGTATGCAGTGTTGAGTCGGATAAAAGATACTATTATCTCTGGATATCTTGTGACTATGAACTAAAAAGATGAGTTTTATTCTTGGATTTCTTAAAAGGTCACCAGCAGACTTTGTCCTTGCAGTTACTAACAACCATAAAATTATTATACTTCCTTGAAAAATTCTCTTACACCCTGAAACCAAGTCGGTTTTATTAAAGATTCATACACACATAGAAATATGCTTCTAGACACATCCTTACCATACAATTTTTCTGCAAGAGGGGCACTTTACCTTTTAAACTGTATGTTCTAAAAAGTAAATGCTTAATTATGAACTTGTTTCAAGTCTTTAGATAAAAATTAGGGCAGTAAATCCCTAAAAATATTTGGACTAAGAACTATGCAATTAACCATACTTTACAGTAATTTGGACAAGAGACAGTTTCCAGTGCACTCATTAACAAGGATTTATTAATTTCCTTGTCTAAAACCTAAAACAATTCCCTGGCTCTGTTTTGAGAAGGGAAGGAAGTTTTGGCTGCAGTGGGATCCTGATAAGGAGACTTTTATCTCTCTGATACCCAATCCAATATTGTCAAATAGAGCTCCCTCCCCCTTCAGTTTTCTCACTAATTATTCTTTGAAGAAATTCTTGATTTGGAAATGGCATTGACATAATATGTTTGAATAGTATTAGAGAAACTCCCTTCAAAGGACTAAATTTGAAACCTGATTTGGGGAACTGCAGAATCTTTGAGCTTATGGGTATTGTTCAACTCTGCCACTTGAAACAATAACCGTAAAAGTAGGAGTTAATGTCCTTAAGAAATTACCTTGTCTCTTTAGGGGAAAGTATTATCACTACGTAAATCATACTCTCGGAGATAGTGTCTCCTTCCTTTTGTTGATCTCCATATTATACAGTACATGAAATCTTGCAGGACCATTCTAGTCAAATGACAATGCATCACAGGTTTAGGCAAAAGGTTTAGCATTTTTTCAGTGTCATGTTGACTACATACTGGTGTGTTTGGTAGTATAAGCTAAAGCCTGTAAGTTAATTTGATCTTGTTTTTAAATGCCCTGATTACAGGAGTTGATCTTGATTACTGATTTTAGGCTTTTCAGAATCTTGATTAATGCATCAACAGTATTAGTATTATTAATGCATTTATTTTATATATGTATTACTAGTATTAATGCATTTCCTCCTTTCCATTACACCTTGTGTTGGATCAACTCCATCTTGTACTGCATCTTAACTTTACAAATCTAACTTTCTAGCAGTTGTTCTTTTAGAGATTGTGAGATGAACAGAAGCTTCATCTTGGTCCAGGTTGTTAAAACCTGAGATGAGGGGCCTAATTCAGCCTTCTATAAATTATCCATTAGGGCATTGAAATGTACAGGAATTGTTCTTTTTTTGTACCTTTTGTAAATTTCAACAACCTCCCTGATCACAGGAACAAAGCACACAGCACTCAGTATAGTGGGGCCCGCACACCTGTCATTGCGAATTAACCAGTGGAGTGCTCTCTGCCTGTGCTTTGGAGAACTTACAGACATTCTGAGTTCACAGAGTACTCTGATTAAAACTATATATTATAATTTTTAGGTGTGGTAAACTTGGGACCACTTAACCAAGAAAATAGGGTAAAGCACCTATATGATTTAGGAGTCTAAATTCCTTTAACTTTCAATGAGACTTATGCTTTTAAGTCACTTACGTGCTTTTGAAACTTTTTACCTAATGCTCTTTTAACAACGTCTGTATTTCCCATCAAATAAATGATGTTTTTTATAAAAGAGGAGAGTTGTTTCCCACCATCTTAAATTGGTACTGTCACATTGAATTGCCAGTTCTCTTTCTCTCTCTTTCAAATAGGTGACTTTTGTAAGAGGAGACTGTTTCTCCTTCTGTAGAGTTTAAAGTATGAATTGCATACCTACCGGTAATTGTGAGCCCCTTCCTATATCCAGTTCTTAAACTAGTGTGTAAAAATAACTGCAATTGTATTATGTTTTTGTGTTGCTAGCATTTTGGTTTTAAAAAAGGAAAAATCCCTAAATCAATTTTTTTTAAATTGAAACCCAACTTCTAATCTATCTCCACCAAATCTCCCCGCAAGTAATCTAATTTAGAGTCCCATCAAAAGAGAGTCGCTTGATTTTAGAAAATTGTTCATTTCCTATCAGTGTTCTGCCTCCCCCACCCCCTCCCGACAGATTGCAAAGTCCTTCAGCAATTTACTGGAAAATCAAAAACAGATGTAGGAAAATGAACAAGGAGCCCAAATAGCCCTCTGCGTAACTTCACTAAGCAAACCTAAGTAAATGCTGTATTTTGATTTTATGTGATGTGACACTTATCACATGCTAGTTTTTCAGTGCAAAGATAAGACATGGCAGGTTATATGAATTTACATTTCATTAACCTGGAAAACATGTTTTAATGGATCAACAAAGTACTTCGAATTTCACACCCATAATAGTCAACTGTCTTGAGGGAAGACAGTTCATCATCTCCTTATTGCTTTTAATATAGGATGTCAGCTGCAATGAAATCACAACTTTGCCACAGCAGATAGGCCAGTTGAAATCTCTAAGAGAACTGAATATCAGAAGAAATTACCTCAAGGTTTTACCACAAGGTAAAAAGAAAAAAAAAAGACCTTTAAAATTACTTTTTAATTACAACTTAGAAAATATGCATGTTTAATTATGTAAATAAGTAAGATTAAAAACCTCGCATTTCCTTGTGCTAAAATTTGTTGAATTTGGTGGATTTACCGTGCATCAGCAACATACTACAATACTTACTGCCAAACAGAAGCAATATGTAGGTCTTTTTAAAATGAATTATCTTTGTGATTCATGGTGGCTTGATACTTGTCTTCAAATCATTGGTTTGAAGAGTATTTATTTATGAATGACCTATGCAGTCAGACCCTCCGCTGATATAAAATGTTTTAGCTCTGTTGTGGAGTTATGACAATTTACACCAGCTGAGGATCAGCCCTGTGGAGTCCTAGAATATTTTAGGAATCTTGGAGAAAAGTATATCATGTACTTCAAAGTACTGTGGTTTTTTTCCTGAGGTCATTGTACTTGCATTAGAAGCCTAATCAAATCAGTACTGCTTCAGTGTGAGTAGAAGTTGCATATTATTAGGGCTGTCAAATGATTAATAAAATTAATTGCGATTAATCGCGCTGTTAAACTGGAATAGAATACAGTACCATTTAAATATTTCTGGATGTTTTCTACATTTTCAAATATATTGATTTCAGTTATAATACAGAATACAAAGTGTACAGTGATCACTTTATATTTATTTTTGATTACAAATATTTGCACTGCTATAACATGAAATATACGGCAGAATGCGGGTAAAACAGAGCAGGAGACATACAATTCTCCCCCAAGGAGTTCAGTCAGAAATTTAATTAATGTCATCAGCATGGACGCATGTCCTCTGGAGCAAGGCCGAAACATGAAGAGGCATATGAATCTTTAGCACACCTGACATGTAAATATCTTGCAACGACAGCTTCAATAGTGCCATGCAAACACCTGTTCTCACTTTCAGGTGACATTGTAATTAAGAAGTGGGCAGCATTATCTCCCATAAATGTAAACAAGCTTGTTTCTCTTAGCAATTGGCTGAACAAGAAGTAGGACTGAGTGGACTTGTAGGCTCTAAAATTTTACATTGTTTTGTTTTTGAGTTATGTAACAAAAAATAACATTTGTAAGTTGCATTTTCATGGTAGAGATTGCACACTACAGTACTTGTATGAGGTGAATTGAAAAATACTATTTTTTGTTTATCATTTTTACAGTGCAAATGTATGTAATAAATAATATAAAGTGAGCACTATACACTTTATATTCTGTGTTGTGATCAAAATTGATATATTTGAAAATGTAGAAAAAATCCAAAATATTTAATACATTTCAATTGGTATTCTGTTGTTTAACAGTGCGATTAATCACGATTAATTTTTTTGAGTTAATCGCATGAGTTAACTGCGATTAATCGACAGCCCTAAATATTATGTTATTGTCCAAGTGATGATACCTTAGGAAATGCACCAGAAGAAATTCTATATCGTCCTCTTGGTCTCTGGTATTTGATTACCAACACCATTAAACTATTGTGGTCAGTTTTTACACACTGATACACAGTATTGGCATAAAACTGTGTGTATATTTGGGGGATATTAAAGCAATAAGACATTAAACGGGGAAGTGGTGCTTAGTAACATACACCTTAGGTATGTACATATCATAAAAAATGAGGTGAGTCTAGATATGGTGTTTATAAATTTACAGGACTTGTGGGGATAAGATGCAGTTATGAAAGCCAGCTATTTTTCTGGGCTAAATCTTGAAGTTCTTACTCAAACAATTTTTTCTTTGAAGACAAGAAAGGACTAAATGTTTGATTCAATATTAGTAATGAAAAGCATCAGAAAAAGTTGAGTATACTAGTAACGTAGTCCTGCCCACAAAAGGGAACAGTTACTATATTTGGCTTTGCTTTGATTCTTTATAGTTACCTAAATTAATATCAACATTGATGATGTTGTGGGGGAAAGTGACTATATTTAGCTATTTTTCTTACTTAATCCCATTTCCATCCCTTATTGTGGCAGCATTGTTTATTCTGACAATGCCTTTGGAGAGATCCCATCAGGATTTCCAGAGTTTGCCATCAATACTGACCATCCTTTAGTAATCTGAGATGCTGTGACCTATGTTAGAGACCCAGCCTTCTTGCCTGGCTCTGCCTGATCAGCAATCCCAAAAAAGGTATCTTTGACAGAGCGACTCTAGGAAACTGTCTATACTCATTTGAAAGAATAGTACAATACATTGTACCCCAACTGAGAAACAATAGTTTCTAGTAATATAAACAGAAGTTAGAGATTATTCTTTCTACTTAATATGGTACAGAATTTATTTTTCAAAACCACTTGTTTTTTTTTGGAATTTATAGTCTTAAATAGCTATGCCTCCCTTTGCAGCATGAAAGGTATTTGATTTGATTTTAAGCAGCTGCCAACAGCCAAGTTGGCCTAGATACTTGAGAATGCCAAGTGCTGTGATTATAGCACCGGGTGGACATTGTAAACAGAATGTAATTTATAAGGTCTTCAGAGTACATAAGTAAAGTAACAGGATCGTCCATAACTTGTTTTTAGAAGAAAAATAAATTTAATTTATTATACTGTGGAATCCTTATTTTCTCCAATTACAAATAGAATCATATTCAAAAATACTTATTTCATATATTTTGTGACAAAAATAAATACCATAATAACTATGATCCTTTCTGTTACTTTTAGAACTTATAGAGCTTCCCTTGGTAAAGTTTGACTTTTCCTGCAATAAAGTGCTCGTGATTCCAGTTTGTTTTAGAAAGATGGTGCAGTTACAAGTATTATTGCTTGAGAACAATCCTCTGCAGTCTCCACCAGCACAAGTAAGTAATGTGTGTCACTTAAATTGTGATTTTAGAATAAGAATAGGCTAGATGATATCAAGAACAGCCTGTGTTTAATTATTATAGTATAAAACTTCATTATCTTGTTTTTTTCCAAGACTGCAAACCCAGCAATGCTATCTGTTGGGTCTTAATGATCACAGTCAATTGATTTTAGCTAGAATTTTTTCTGAAATATAAATAAATGGGAGATGGTAGGTCTCCTCAAGCTCCTAACTTGTGCTCTTGAGCATACATAGCACCTGAACAGAGTCATTCTAGAATATTCCCCCCACTAAATTGCAGCTACTTTATAAATACATTGGTAATCTTTATTTCATTCGCCTGTCTTCCTTCAATGGTTACTGCTAATAAACAGGATATTTTTATGATGATGATGGGGAAAATTGTAAGAGAAATGTTGTGGATAAACCTATGTTCCATAACTACTATAAGTGAATGGGCAGACATTTCAGGAAGCTTTGGTGTGATTTTACCAATTAACAAGCCACTAATATGTTCAGGACAGTAGTTAAAACAACTTTCTGTAAGCCTACTGTATGTGATGCACATAGAAACTAATAAGTTCCATATTTGGATATAGCCTGCCTTGAAGTGTAATGTATTGTGATGATGAATGTAGGCAACACTTCCACCAGTAGACAGTGCTATATCTTACTGTTAAGTTGTTGCCTTGTATGTTATGTTGTTGATATGACCTGAGGGGTTAGCAGGAAGATCTGTCCTGCCTGTGTGTACTAAGTTGGTGCTTGCTGTGTCCCAGTAAATCTCTGATTCTGTAAGCAAATATTACAACTGGTGGCTTCAAGATGGCAGAAGCTCTTTTGCCTGAGAAGAAATTTACTGGTCATGCAGATGAGACTGGAATCTTTGAGTCTTCACAGACTTTGAGTGGACTGATGAGGAAGTAGCACAGTACCAAGCTGTATTTTTGAATAGTGATGCCAAAGTATTTTACCAGCAGCTTCCCAATGCGGATCATGGTTCTTATAGACAGTCACACAAACACTTATATAACCTCTGTGAAAGGCCATTGGTCTTTTTGAAATACTGGAAGGAATGGCAAGCCAGAAGGCATCTGGAAGAGGAACCCCTGCAGAGTTATAGCGTGCATTAAGGAGATTGTTCAGTAGGCCTTTACGTCATACCCCTGTCTAGGAGATGACTCTAGTGAAGCAGAATCGGCTGTTCCACATCTGGAACTGGCAAGCCATGAGAGTATTCTGTGTGAAAAGTCAGTTTGTAAACAGCTTAAGAGGAGAATTTCATAACCTGCTGGTGAAGGATAACATACTGGACATATCTATGGTCCTGATTATATGCAGAGTTCAAAAATGTGGAAGAAGAAATTCATGTTTCTCATAAAGGTATTAGCTGCTAATTTGCAGCGTTAGGGTATTCCCTTATACCAGATGTTGCACTTCAAGAAATTATTGCTAGTGAAGTGGCTAAATAATTGGCAGAGGCCCATGTGCAACCTATTCACAGGCATCCCATAGGTCAGAAGAGAGAGACTGTTTCCCAAGTGCATCCCATGACAGATGACATTTGCAGGTGATATAGAAGCAAAGGCCACTGGAGACAGAATTGCCCAAACAGATGTAAGCCACACCAAGGGAAACGAGAAGTTGCTGATGCAGTAGGGCCACCATCAGCAACTCTTAGAATGGGCCAGTCAGGAGCTACACAGACACCTGTTACTATGTGTCTGAAGACATCGATGCCTGGAAAACTACAATGCTGTTGAACTCAGGATCTGAAATAAATCTCATCTATGGCGAACTCCTAGTGCTGAAAGAGAAGAGAATTTGTACTGCAGGAGTTTGTACTGGGGGAGGGATAGCTCAGTGGTTTGAGCATTGGCCTGCTAAACCCAGGGTTGTGAGTTCAGTCTTTGAGGGGGCCACTTAGGGATCTGGGGCAAAATCAGTACTTGGTCCTGCTAGTGAAGGCAGGGAGCTGGACTCGATGACCTATATATATATATATATATATATATTTAATATTCATAATTAAACTGGTGAGTGTTAATCAACAGTGCTGCCCCTGAACTTGGGGTCTTTGCATATTAGGTGGACTTTTGTTGTGGTGACCAGTATTTCTAGTGCTGTTATGTCGGGAGAGGATTTCATCCGAGGGCATCACAAGAACTCTTGGGGTATTAATAGAAGAGTTTTGTCCCTGGATAACATTCAGATACCCCTGCTGGATGTTGGCAGGAGGAAGTGTGGACATGGGGTTTTTAGAGGTGCCTCTACCTTGCCTACAGGATGACAGAGAGGAACCTCGTCCTTCCTGTGAAGGCTCAGGTAAAGTTGTGGTGAAGCCAGCTAATCATGCAATAATACCCCTGATGATAAAGTACAGCTGCAGTGAATCTGTAGGAGTATTTGAAGCCACCAATATCTGGTCAGGATTGCTGTTTAGCAAAACTCTATTTTTTCGAGCTGGACCAAAGGGTGTGATATGGATAAGTGCAATTAACGTGACTGACCAGGAAATGTAGCTAGAGAAAAATCAGGCCATGGGGACAGTGTCCAAGATAACTAGTGTCTCAAAGCCTCCCAAAGGGGCAGAGATCAAGAGCTATGTTGCAGTCCAGTCAGTAAAAGAGCTAGGGGTTGACTTAACAAAAGCAGCCGTAGAAAGCAACAAAGGGAAGTGATTAGAACAGTTGCTCGTACAACATGCCACTGTGTTCTCCAGGAATAATGAAGAGCTTGGGAGATATGATTGGATGCAACATTGGGTTGTGCTTAAGCCAGGGAATATTCCTGTGAGGCAGCCCCCACATCAGATTTCCCTGGTGTAACAGTCACAGGTTATTTTTGGGTTCCGCAAACCCATGCTTCCCTGTGACTTGATGTTCAGGCAGCAAGAATTGGTAAGGCCCTCTGCACCTACACAGGGGGGTGACATGGTGGAATCTACCATCAGTGACCTGATGACAGCATTCCAGAAGGTGGAGGAACAGATGAGCTGGAAATGAACATGTCGAGCACAAGATGCCAGGAAAAAAGGAAAATGATGTGCCCATCCAGGAAGTAGAGAGCTGTAGGCATGCAAGTGGAAAAATCCCCAAATTACTCCTTTTTGGAGGGGACATTACACAATAATTAAGAAACTAAACAACTCATCATTCCTGATTTTTTTTTTTTTTAAAGTGAGAGCCCAACCTTTTGTATTGCATTGAGAATTGGTGCCCAGATTCACTGAAAGAAAGGGGAGGGCAAACATTGAGGATGCTCAACAACTATTCCAGAGGGCTTCAGTAGAGGATTTGGAGGTACTCAGCAGGTTCCTATGGCTAATAAAGGGAGACTGATTGTGGACAAAGAATTGCTGGGGTGTTCTAGGAACCTCAACACTGTGCCATCTTCATCAGGCAGTCTGACCACAACAGATAGGCCTGATCTAGAGGACATGAATCCTTCACTCGCTGATCATTTAGATCCAACTATGAGTGATGCGTACATGACTGAATACAGGACTTGAGGGGGCAGATTAACATGGAAATCTGCATGGATGGCAGACTACTTGGATTCCTAGGCGTTACTGTTTAAATTGATATTTAACTAGAGAGGGGAACATTGTAATGATTAGTGTAGATAGTACCTCCACCAGTAGATGATGCTATATCTTTCTCAGTGTGAAGTTGCTGTATGCAGGTACTTGCGGGTACTATAAGTGAGTACTACAGTAAAACTGAAGGAAATGCCTGTGTTCTCTGTAGGCTTCTGCCGTCCAAAGTTTTCCATTGTCATTGTTTGGACTCATTAAACTATTACAGCTCTGCTATGGGAGCCAAAAATGATTGTTGATTGACGGGCATTGCTTGCATGGAATAAGAGTAAGACGTGATTTGCTTAAAGAAAATGAAAACGTTTTCCATTTTTCCATTAACCATAAAGCTGATTTTAAAAGATAAGTGAAGCAGACACCACCAAGTGGTGAGATTAGAAATCTGAGTTCAGTTTTTTTCTCAAATGGAATAAATGCATCATACAAATGCGTAGAAACTTGTAAAGACAATTTAACTAAATAGAAAGAGACAGAACATTTGATTTAGGTGCCCTGTTAACTACTTTCTTAAAATAAAAAATATTTATTACTTATAAACTGAAAAATATCATTTGCTTTGTCTTTCTCCATTGCGGAGGGGGAAGGTACAGTATTGTTCTCCTGGATTTATAATGTAGCATATGTTGATATGGCTGCTTCTTGTTTCTACTTTCTCTACACACTTATGTTGTTCTTGATGTTAAGGGAGATGTGCATTATTCTTGGAATGTATTTATACTAGAAGACATAAAGTTGTGCACATCTTGCCCAAACCCACATGGGTCACAGTGGGCATGCTCCAATTGAAGTCATTGGTAAAATTCCCATTATCTCCATTGCTACTTCTTAACATCTTCACCAAAGCAGCAAAATGAGATTGCACACTGTTTTTGTTGTAATTTTTTTAAACGATATAATCTGATGGAAAACATCCTGTCTACTATTTTTCTAGGAAGTTAATATTAGTAAGGTCAAATTTGGAGCAAATATATATTTTTAAATCTTTATGGTTATAAATGTTTTTTTTCTCATCCTAATAGATTTGTATAAAGGGTAAAGTGCACATATTCAAATATCTGAGCATACAGGCGTGCCAGATTAAAACAACAGACTCACTTTATCTTAATGCCATAGAACGACCACACTTGCAGCAACCTGTGGAAGAGAGGTAAGTACAAAAGATTAACACTGCATTCTTTGTTCACATAAATCAGTTCTAGCAGTCTGGAAACAAAGTGGAATATATTTTTTATTCTTTTACTTCAAGAGTTTTCAAAGTAGGTTTATGTCAGCTGTACCTTTTTGAATAAAACTCTCATCTGAATTAATAATCTTTATTCCAGAGAAACCCCTGTATTACTTCAGAATGATTATAACATAACTTAAATGTAATCTTGGTGATTATTAAATATTACCCTCCACCATAACCATGTAATTTGATTAAGATGTTTTAGTTTTGATGGACTCAGATTAGATTAGATTGATTTTTAAATACACATTGGTGTTTTTCATGTTTTCCCCCCTCATGTTATCACTACTGGGCAGAGTTAAGGTTTTTGAGATCACTTAACTGTGCATTTCCAAAACTTAACATGTTTGGATTTCTTTTAAGTGTAATTTTAACTCTGAATTTCTTGGATTGGTAATGCTGAGTTTTGGGATAATGTGATAAAATGTTGATCTAATTACTGTTTTGTCTTCTCAACCTTAACTCAACGTTAGTAAGTTTATCTAGGGATATCCTTGTTTTTTAAAAAACATTTCAGATACAAACAGTAAATAATGCTACCATATGATATTTCTAATGACCTGAGATAAGTAGTATCAACTTTAATATTTTTTAAAATTGTAATTGTAAACAGCGAATTCACTGGTACACCAGAGCAGCACAAAGCAGCCAGAACCGGGATTACATCTGCTTTGCATCACTAGAGCAGTGCAAGGCAGCCAAAGTGTATTGGTGGATTGTGCCTTTAATTTTCAGTTGGTTTATTGGTTTAGAGAGCTATGTTACAGGCACTAGCGCTATATGAAGGAAAAGATGGGCAGGGAGAACCCTGTTGATAACCTGTATAATAATATTAAATACAATAATTAATTATTTATCTTATTTGCAACCTAATTTCTTCAAACATGGTGTATGCACAAGACTTCAATGAATTTTAATTATCAAGATAGTTTAAAAAGTCTTTGTTGTTCCTTATTAAGATCATTTGGGACAAAGAAAAGACTGACAGGTGCTACATTTCTTAAAGAACCAATTCTTAAATTAATTTGAACTCATAAACTGATAGATTTTTCAGGTAAATTCTCAAAAATTCATCCTGTACTCAGAGAGTAACCCCTGTAAATTTGGGGTGGATATGCTATATTTATCCTATATAAAATAGTTTAATGCTTGATTTTAGTCTAAAATGAAATTCAGCTTTAGCTATGGAGTTGTGACCAGTGGTATAATGGTATAAAATGAGCATATAGTTTATTATGAGAGAGATCTACTTCATCAAAGTTGAAAAGGCTTTCATTTAATTTACTCATGGGACATACAGTGGCGTCTTTTTGTTGTATGTTCATGCAAGTGACAAGAACAGTGGGGTCCTGGTCCATAACTGGGACTTCTATATGCTACCACATTAATAATGATATGTAATAAATACAATGCTTGAGGACCTATCAGGAATAGCAGACTTTTTCTACATTCCTGTGTTATACTTTATTAATTTATCACATATACTTTAGCACAAGTATATCCTTTGTATTCATTAGCTTTTCCACTAGCCAATGAAAAACCAAAAATTATGGAAAATACTGTTTTCATGTTTCTGAGAATAAGAAACAAAGAAACCAAAGAAACACAAAACCTCTGGGATTTCCACAGATTATTTCACACAAAGTCCCAGTATTTACTGATAACAGATGGCAAAAACTGAGCCTTAATCAGAGACCTGGCTTTTACAAAGGCGCTTAAAATTGCTTTTTTCATTTTTATTGGTAAATATGTCTAGTTGCTGGAAAGTGACAATGTGCAAAAAAAATAAGGTGGAATTGGGCAGGATTACAATTTAATGTTTTAGATCACAAATAGACAGAAAAATGTGATGGTCAATGTATTATCATAGGAACATGAGCATATGACTAATATTGTACTGTACAATGAGTAAAGGTCATATATTACGCAATGAAACCAGAGCAGAAGGTACCTGGCATTATTATGGTTTACCAATTTAAATAAGTAAACCTCAAGGAGTTTTTAAATTAATGCATGTCACAAAGGTACCTATGTTATTAATTACTTCATGCTCTAGGGAGCTCCAACGCCCTTTCCTCCAACACTAATTAATTTTTAACATATTAATGCTCAGGTGCGATTTAGTTGACTACAGTCTGAGTTCAACTATTTTAGTTGATTTGAAAGTCAGTTTGGGGATATGCTAAGCAGTCAGAATGCTGCTAAACTACTGGCAGTTTTTATCTTTGTGAACAAAAAAGGATGATTTAACAATAGATTATTTTTTCCTATTTTTAACCAGTAAGTTTACTATCTTCTTAGAGGAACTTGTCGAGTTGTTCGTTTAATTAATTTTACTTGACACTGAACATTTGCACAATAATGTTACCAGTCTTACTTCACATGTATTATATTATTAATTTGTTAAGGGATTGATCTTGGACCATAGAGGCTAATGGAAGTTTTGGCACTGACTTCACTGAGATCAGGATCAGGCTCTTAGTGCACACTAAAATAACTTTCTGTTCACTTTTGTTTACATTTAGCATTGACGACATATATCCAAGTAAGAAGGATTCTGATTCAGGCGTTGGCAGTGATAACGGAGATAAACGTTTGTCAGCTACAGAGGTAACTTACCTGAATTTTTGCTTTTTCAGCCATTTTGGTTTATGCTTCCAGTTGGATAGTTTTGTGGAGATGCTTTCTATGTATCAAAAATATGCAGCCAAACCCTGGACAGAAATTTCTACAAAAGTAAAGAGTGAAATGATGAGGATAGAAGAGAAACTTTATTCTATATACCCTGTGGAGGGGGCTGTCAAAACACTTATTTCAAAAGGTTTTAAGAATACATTACTGAAGAACGAAGGTTCATCATGAGTGGATTGATGCCTTTGTGATTTTATTGCCTACGAGAATTAATTATTTATCTCGCTCTGATTGAAAGTCAATGAGGATTGGGCACCAAACTCCTTTAGGCACCTTTGAAAATCTGACCCTAAATTTATTATTATTTTGCTTCCACCACTCAGATCTTCTTTTCAAGTTCATGCTGTCTAAAGGCCACTGGATGACACAGACTCAATGTTACAGCTGCTTTGTAATGTTCTTACACTTGGCTGTTTTGTTCTCTAAATACACCTCTACCTCGATATAACGCTGTCCTTGGGAGCCAAAAAATATTACTGCGTTATAGGTGAAACCGCGTTATATCGAACTTGGTTTGATCCGCCGGAGTGCACAGCCCCGCCCCCCCCCCCGAGCGCTGCTTTACCGCGTTATATCCAAATTCGTGTTATATCGGGTCGTGTTATATCGGGGTAGAGGTGTATTCATTAAAGCAGATGCCAGGCTGGCACTCTACTTTGCCGCTGAACTGGCATTTTTTTTGGAAGCACAAAATTGAAAATAGAGCCTTTTGAGGTGGGTCTCCCGAAAGGACTAATTTGGACTTGGTGCAGTTTCTAAAATATTGTACATTTAAAAGAAGAAAGAGAGAGGAGTGAACAGGACAGTGGGAGGCTGCTGAGAGAAAGGGGTACTGCAAAAAGAGAAAAGGATAGGTAAATTGAATCTTCGGGGGAGTTGAGAAGAGCAAGTGAAAATGGATGAATGGAAAAGAGCATGGGAGGGAAATAGGAAAAAGAAGGGTGAGAGATAATGTGGAGAATATGACAGGGAAAGTAATGGGGTATGGGGGAAAATGAAGAAGGAAAGGAAAAGGATGAAGGTTAGCTGTGTAATACAGCTCCCAGTGTGTCATGACTTTTGGACTTTATTTGGTACATGCCTTTTTCTTTTTTTGTACAACGCCTGCCATGTTCTTGATACTAACCAAAGGAACCATATCATCACATAGTGGCATGATGAAAGCTTTAACTTCTCCTTTTAATTTTTATAAAGAGAATGCTGCCATTTTCTGTACTTCTTGTAAAGTATGGATTTTCGTGGGAAAGTGAGTGTTGGTGAGCCCATGTGTGTGGCCTCCCCTTGTCCTGGTCCCAGATAGGGGCTCCCCGAGGGAGCAGCAGTGGCCAAAGCTGCTTCGTTACTTAGATGTTGTAAATGTGAGAAGGATCAGAAGAGGCCATGTGTCCAGTCCGCACCCTTTCCTCCCACCCTCCTTTGTATACTTGATGCTCAAATATGAATTCTGTTTGATTGGGTTTTTTGTAAGTCAGGCAGCCACAAGTGGGGAATTCGGTGGTGAGGGTCAGCAAGACATGGGGCACACTTTTAGCCACTATAAATAATAATGACAGTGAATGGGGAGCAAATCTCCAAAGTAATTGAATGATGAACTTGCAGAAACTTGTCCAAGCTGCCATAGAATTTTTGGTCTGATTGATGGGAGGAATTCATGTCACTTTAAAGGAATGCATATTTTGCAACTCTGAACATGTTTATGCTGATTTTCAGTGCTCATCTGCCTCTCAAATGGGTAGGAGAGAAGTTTTTTGGAAGTTATGCAAGGAGAAAGATGGCAGTCTAGAAACTGAATTTATTGTTAATACGAAAACAAATAGAAACTAATGAGCACTTGTCATAAAGGATATAAATTGGTTTGTTTTTTAAATGTTAGAACATTAAAAAGGACATAAATTGGAAAGTATTTTGACAAGTTTCCTCCTAGAAATGAAGCTGAATCGCTGCAATTTCAGGCCAGAGTTTTAATAGTTTCCCTATAGTCCTGGGAGCATATATTCCATTCAAGGAGTCTGAATTTTCTTATTGCCATATTTCTCCATATTGCTTTTCTCATATGTTTGCTTAAAGTGACTAAGCTTGTTAATGAAGCACTGTTATTCCAGAGCTTTCTGTGTGACTATAAAGAATATTTTTAGAAAATGGATTGTCCCTCCTGTAATTAAAATGTAGCAGGCCTACACTGGAAAAATTGTTTTAAGAAAATAGCAGGAGTGAAACAACCCCTTTTTCATATTATAGCACAAAGATTAATTATGTAATATTCATATATTTATTCATTCATTCTTTTTCTCTTTCCAATAATAGAGAAAATGGGAAGTAGATCATGAATCCTAAACATGCATAGTGAACTTAACATGAGAGAAGTGAATGGTATCACATTTTCTTGTACATCATACTTTGAGATCTCTATTGTACATGGAAATTTTGCAAAAAGTTTATAGTACATTGTGATTTCAAGTCCACGTTTTGTAACCAAATACATCCATGATCTTTTCAAATAGAGCATGTTAAATTGGATTATAATCACTTTCACTCCTTTAAAATGTGAATGCTTTTACAATGTACAAAAAGCTCATCTTTCTTACTGAGACTATCTTTACAAATATATCAAAACAAATTGACTCATAGTTCCCTAAGATTAATTATATTTCAGTTCATTCATAAAATGAGACACAGAGCTCATTCTATTTACTGTTCTTTTTCCAAGTATGTGTGAGATTTTTGTGTAATTTAAATAAAAAGGGGATTTTTTTATTCAAATTAAGTGAAGTTTTTGTGTCATTTAACACTGATGTACATTTTAGGAATTTTGTCAGATATGCAGTTGGGCACATACAGAAAGGAAGGAGAGGGGATAGTGGGCTAAATGAACAAATTACATATATTCTCTGTCTAGCTGGTCTGACCCTGACAGCATCATAGAGGTCATTTCTTTATAGCTGAAGTGTAGTCCTGGATATTGCCAATATCACATCTTCTCCTTTCATGTATTGTTTCTGAGGACAATATATTGATTATGGCAACTGTGAGATAAATCCTGCTTTTCAATGGTATCTCCTTTACAGTATCTCGTTCATCTTTAGAGATGATGGATAATACTCTGAGTCACCTTTTTTCTTTAAAACTTCTGTCTCAGTTAAAATTCACTAGAACAACAGCATATTTTTATTCCTTTAACAGTAGTATTTGAGATTTGCATAGGGAGATCAAGATTAAATATGGCATGTGAAGATCCATTTGCTTTCTCTGCACCATTACCCTGAAGGATGTGGCATTAGTACTAGCACTGTAGGTTCTTCTTTGAGTGCTGGTCCCTATGTGTTTTCCCCTGTGGGGATGTATGCGCTCCATGCACCTGAAGCCGGAGAATTTTGAAAGCAGTGGCTGTTGATCCGCATATGCGCCCTGGCTCACCTCGTGCCTCTGACTGAGGAGATAAAGAGTGGGTGGACCGACTGCGTCTCTGGTTCCTTCTCACCACCCCATGGTCTGGGTCAGAACCTCCAGCGTCCAAAGCTTTGAATTTATTTCTTTATCGGTTAACATATATTTAGATATCTGTAAATAATTTTTAGAAGTTTTAGAATTTAGAGGTTTTATCTAATAGTTTATAGTATTTTATAATTAGTCTCCCAAATCTGGAGATCACTCCTTCCTCTGTACCCCATTTTGGATATTGGTCTATGCCCAGGACTCCAGGGTTCAAAATTTGTGCTTCTTGCCTGTGATCCTTCTCAGTCAGTGATGACCATCAATGCTGCATGTACTGCCTTGGGAAAATCCGTGTCGTGGCAAGGTGCAATATCTGCTGTTTGTTCCCCAGTCATACCCAGGAAGGGTGGGAATTTTGTCCAAGGAAACACCTAATGGAAAAGGCCATGAGGCTGCAATCGGAACTAGGTTGGGAGCCCCTCTCAGGCACCCCCTCCCACCCACTCACCCCTCCGTTCATCCATGAGCCTGACTCAGCAAGGAGTGCGCCTTCTCTCATGAGACCTTGCTCAGGACTTTCAGCAGGGTTTTGTCAGGAGAACAGAGAGCATTCTCATAAGCATGAAACTAAATCTTCCTCCAAATCCACTTTGAAGAAGTTGGATTCAACCCTGCCTAAACCAAGCATGTCTCTAAGCTCAGCCCAAAAGAACTTAGTACATCTTAAATCTCAGCAGGGTGACAAGAAAGCCCACAAGTTTAGGGCTTCATTGGCACTAAATCACGATCTGCCAGCACCAATGTCTCTGGAATCTTCAAAACACAAACCCTGGGATCTGCCAGTACTGATGAAGACCGATCACTGAGAGCATTGGTTACCCATGGTACAGTCTTTGTCTTCCATGACTGTGTCTCAGACTATCTGTACTGTGGCTCCAGCAGTTCGAATGGGCAGGACCCCTCTCCCTCTAGGAAGAGCTGAGATCTGTGCTGCTCCTGAGGACATCTTTGCTCTTCCAGATCTGGAGTCTCCTACTCCATCAGGTCCCTCCCTCTCAAGAGAGGTTCTGACTCCACCAGAAGAGCCAACATTTGGGAGGAGTCTGTCTCCCATTCCATCTTTGGGCTGTGACTTTCCTCCAGCGGCACCATCTGTATTGCTGTTGGGCTCAGAATTGGCTTTCTCCTCATCGGTAGATTCTGAACTGCCTGATGAATCATTATTATTGGAGGGAGGGATAGCTCAGTGGTTTGAGCATTGGCCTGCTAATCCCAGGGTTGTGAGTTCAATCCTTGAGGGGGGGCCACTTAGAGATCTGGGGCAAAAACAGTACTTGGTCCCCCTAGTGAAGGCAGGGGGCTGGACTCGATGACCCTTCAGGGTCCCTTCCAGTTCTATGAGATAGATATATCTCCATCTCCATATTATTATTCCCTCCTCCAAAACGCACCTTCCTGGTCAGAAGGCCTGGAGCAGCTTGGGACCAACATTCGTCTCATCACCTCCTCAGAACCATTGGTACCCCATGCCATGGGGACCTCTGAAATCCCCACTTGATCTATCTTATTGGCCATACTGGGTGCCATGGGACCAATACCATCCTGCAGAATTGGCCAGTATGCTAGAGAGTTGTCCCTTCTCTCCCTTTAGAGAGGGCAACCAGAACTGCCACCTGAGGAGAAGGAGTATGTGCCAAATCTGTCAGTTCCATTGGAACTGAGAAGATTGCCATCTTCATCTCCAGATGAGGCTGTGTTTCCAATGTCTCCACTCCCACCCCCCATTACTATAAGCAATTCCAAGAACTTCCTCACAGAATTACAGGGGAGCTTGCAGATTCCTCTTTAGGAGATTCAGGATCCTCAACACAAGCTCGTAGACAGCCTCCAGTCCTCTGGCTTTACTCAAATAGCACTCCCTGTTAATGAAGCCATCCTGGAGCCATCTAGAACAGTCTGGCATCCCCTGGCTACTTATGCCCCAACCCCTAACAGGACAGATAGATGGTACTATGTCCCAGCCAAAGCCGTGGAATTTCTGTTCTCTCATTGGTCCAGGCCGTCACAGTGAAATCTAAGCAGCAAACCCCCTAACTGATAAGGAGGGCAAGCTTCTCAATTTACTGGGAGAGAAGTTGTTTTCTTCTAGCCTCCAGTTCAGGATAACCAACTACCAGGCACTGATGGCTAAGTACGAATTCTGTGAATTTTGAATAGTTCGGGACTTTGCTGACAGACGTCCACAGCAGAACAGAGCTCAATTCCAGGCTCTCATAGAGGAAGGCAAATTGGTTGCCAGAACCACTCTCTAATCAGTGGTAGAGACAGCTGATGCATCTTCCAATGCAAGGGCTACTGCCATTGTAATGTACAGGGAGTTGCGGCTCCAGGCTTTGGGGTTTTCCAGGGAGGTCCAGAACACTGTTGAAGATCCACCCTTTGATCAGACTGTTTAATCAGAAGACAGAGGAGTACTTACACACTCTAAAGGTCTCCAGGGCCACCCTCCGCTCCCTGGGAATATATACACTTGCCCCAAAGAGAAAATTCCACCAGCAGCCATGGAAGCCTAGACTGATGGCACAACAGTTCTACCACCAGAGACCTTACAAGCCTTCCTGTAAGAGGCAGAGGGTTCAAAAGACCTGCTTTGCCCCACATCTTTCTCAGCCCAGTGCTAGCCCTCAGCAAAACGCTATTTGTGATGGGAGCTTGAGAGCTGCAGACTACTAAGACCTACACCTCCTGACCCTCACGTACTCTTTAGGGGTTGTCTAGCCCTCTTTTTCAACACCTGGAGTTCAATGACAATGGACAAGTGGGTGCGTAATGTCATCCATTCTGGCTATATGATACAGGTTGTCCCTACCCCATCCAAAACCGCTGCCCTGCCCTCTTTTGGGGGCCACTCTCACAAGAAGATTCTCAAACAAGAAGTGGAATCCCTCTTACAGTGAGAAGTGATAGAGCAGGTTCCTCATTAGTACCAAGGAAGGGGTTTTTACTTGACATACTTCCTAGCATCCAAAAAGAAGGGTGGTTGGAGACCCATTCTCGACCTCTGCCATCTTTATTTTCAAATTCAAGTTTTGCATGGTCACATTGGCATCTATAATTCCGTCCCTGGAAAAGGACATGCGCTTTACACCTCCCAACATGAAGGACACCTACAGTCATGTGGACATGACCCTCTCACATGGTGACTCTCTATTTCTTCCATGATCAGACCCCTTGAACTATGCCTTCCCTCCACTACTACTCCTGCCTTGGGCTTTACACAAGATTCAGCAGGACAGGAGTCATCCTCATTGCCCTCAAGTGGCCCAGAAAGTTTTGATTCCCAGACCATCTATGCATGCCATCTCAGGCACCAATCATTATTCCAACATTTCCTGATCTCCTGACCAGGGGAATGGCAAGATCAAATGTCCCAACCCCCATCTGCTTCATCTCAGGGCTTGTTTTTTGGATGGGCATCATCCTTAGAGCTCTCGTGTTTTGAAGCTGTACAGAACATCTTTTCTAATAATAGGAAGGATTCCACTAGAAAATGTTACCTACTTAAATGGAAGCTTTTTTTTTTTTTTTAATCTGTGGGCATCAGATGTGTACCCCTGAAAGCTGCAGCTAATCTTCTTATTCTGGACTTTATTTTTTTCCTTAAAGACATCAGGTTTGTCCATCAGCTCCTTACGGTCTACTTGGCAACAATCAGTGCATACCATCCACCTTCGCAGGGCCACTCCGTCTTCGTGCACCATTGACTAGCAGATTCTGGAAAGGCCTAATCAGAATCTTTCTGCCCATGAAAAGGCCCACTCCTCAATGGAACTTGAATCTTGTTCTCTCCATATTAACTAAGCTCCCTTTGAATCATTAACTTCTAGCTCCGTGTCTCTCCTGTCCTTGACAGTCACATACCTCGTAGCTGTCACCTCAGCCAGAAGGATTGGTGAGCTTGGAGCACTGATGGTGGATTCTCCTTACAGAATCACAGAATATCAGGGTTGGAAGGGACCTCAGGAGATCATCTAGTCCAACCCCCCTGCTTAAAGCAGGACCAATCCCCAGACAGATTTTTGCCCCCGATCCCTAAATGGCCCCTTCAAGGATTGAACTCACAACCCTGGGTTTAGCAGGCCAATGCTCAAACCACTGAGCTATCCCTCCCCCCCGCTATATTCCATAAGGACAAATTTTCATTATGTTTATACCCTAAATTCACTCCAAAGTATTTTCAGAGTTTCACCTGAACCAGTCAATTCACTTAGCTGTGTTCTTCCCAAACCCACCCTTACCCTCAGAAGAAAGGGGTATCCATGTCCTCGATGTTTGGTGAACTTTAGCCTTTTAACTGCAGAGAACATAACCAATCAGAAAGTCTCCCAGACTATTTCTCGCCAGACACTGTGCCTTGGTACAGGACTCCTCCACTGATGCATCTTTTAGAATGGTGGGCTTTTCTCATCTACAACCTCGCACCCTCCTCTTTTTTGGGTACTGCTGGTCAATCACCCAGCACTCGAAGAAGAGAAAGCTACCTACCTTATAACAACTAGAGGTTCTTCAAGATATGTGTGGTCCCAGACTGTACTACACTATGCTCCCTCCTTTCCCTCTGCTACGGATCTTTTTATTCTCAGTAGAGAAAGAACTGGAGAGGCGGTCGGTCTGCCCTGCTCTTTATCTCCTTGGTTGGAGGCACAAAGTGAGCCAGGGCACATGTGCAGTCCTACAGACGCTGCTTTCAAAATTCTCCAGCGCCTGATGCATGGAGGACATACATATCCACAGTGCAATACAGATAGGGGTCACACATCTCAAGAAACTTCCAGTTACTATGAAGTAAGTTAGTTTCTCTTGTGATGTGTAGTTGTCTCAGGTAAAGAGAGAAGGTGCGTGAGGTAATATCTTTTATTGGACCAACTTCTTTCTGTTGGTGAGAGAGACAAGCTTTCAAGCCACAGTACCTTTCCCAGACTTGAAGAGCGCTGTGTGGATTGAAAGCTTCTCTCTCACCAACAGAAATTGGTCCAGTAAAAGATATTACTTTACCCACCTTGTCTTTCTCATAGGAAGGCAGAAGCTTTCAAAATGGCTGCATCAGGCACTAAAATGGTTTGAAATTAATGCTACAGTAGCCTTAGATTTTTAAGATGAAAATTAGACTCTTCATCTTCTGCGGCTTTGATCCTTGAAAGTCTGTCAACGGCTTCCATTGCTAACTGAATAAAAATAAAAGTACAAATGAAGGAAATGAGATACAGTATTTCACCTGTGATAGAGCTATGATGACTTTGTATAATTACAAAGTTGCTTTGGATAGTTCCTATTTGGCCCTATGCTGTCAGGAAACACCTGGGAAAATCAGTTACATAGTTACATCAGTTAAAAAAACCAACCACCCTGAATAGCCTGTGAAAGGAATGATTGCAAATGAGCAAGGCTGCATTTACCTTTTAACACTCTAAATTGTTTGCATAACTCCACTGATCAAAAAACCCTGCCCAAACTTTAATTCTTAGAATTTGTGATCATGCCAATAGAAGATGCCATTGTACTGCACTATTTTCAGCTGAGAGTTTCTAGATTAATAGGACCTGAATAGGTCCAAAATAATCTCTCTGGATATGCTGCGAAAGCCATCTGCTTGACAGAATTTGTGGAAGTGTTGAGGAATGTCTTTGCAAAAGTGGAAAGGGACATTACTGCTTCTCTGATTTAATGACTGTCTGAGTTTATTTATTTCCTATATATGATTACTTTAAGCTGCTGGATGGTCATCATTATGTGATTATAACTGTAATTATTAGGGTGCTTAGAGCTTTTTGTACAGTGACCTTTTTTTGTTTTAAATCTAAATAAATAAATGCGTATATGTATGTATATAAATAATTGACAAATAGAAGCATTTGTGCAATACTAAGTTATTTCACTGTTGAGCTTTATCACTCATGGCAAAGGTTTTTCAGATTCCTGAATATATATGTTTGTGTGCACAGCATGATATCATTTTACTAAAAGCACTGAATTGTGAATGTAGAATTCATGAGTCAAAAGTATAGGATACATCGCTTTCCTCCTATAAGCTACTATTTAATCTTTTACATATTTGAATGCTAATAAAATAATTAACACCAATTGGCATTTCAGTCTTGGTTTAATTTTTAAATTAATGTTTTTCTTGTTTCTTCTCAGCCCTCTGATGAAGATACTGTCAGCCTTAATGTACCAATGTCAAATATTATGGAAGAAGATCAGATTATAAAGGAAGATTCGGGTCACCACATCAACCTAGTCCAAGGTCTGAATGTAAAGAAGAGACACTTAACAATAACAGGAATTCTGCCCACTATTCTATATGTAATGCTGTATGAGTGCAATTCACAAAAAACTTCCCAACCCAAGTTTCTACTAACAACATGCTTAAAACCTACTCCTTCAGTTGACCACTATTTTTCCTTGAAAATTTATGAAGCATGTTTAGTTTTGTACTTCTGAGAATAATCACTTAGGCCTGAAACTACAAGAGGCACCTAGGCACTTAAGCCCCAGACTTAGATGCCTGCTATCTCACTCGAGGTGCCTGGATGTCTATCTCCTGCCTAAGCCTCAGGGTGATCCATGAACCAGAGGAAGTTAAACGTTTGTCTACCTACCTCGCATGCATATCCTGATCCTGTAGGTGTGCTCTGAGGCTGCCTATTGGATCGGGTACCATTCAAAATCTGGGCACCGGAGAAGGAGGACATGGAAGGTGGAGGTGGCGGTGCACCTTAAAATTTTTAGCCTAATGGTTAGAGCACTCATCTGGGATATGGGGCAACCAGGTTCAGTTCAGTTCAGTTCCCTCCTCAGGCAGAGGTGGGGGAAAAGGAATTAAACAGGGGTCTCCCACACCTCTCAGGAGAGTGCTATAACCACTGAGCTGTGGCATACAGTAACTCCCCATTTAACGTCCTCTCGCTTAACGTTGTTTCAATCTTACGTCCCTGCTCAATTACAGAACATGCTCCATTTAAAGTTGTGCAATGCTTCGCTGTAACGTCGTTTGGCTTCCTGCTTTGTCCTCAGCTGGCAGCTCCCCATCAGCTCCCCTACGCCCCCCTCCACACAGCGCCTCCCGCCTGCCAGCAGATCCCGCGTATCAGTGCCTTTCCCCTCATCCCCCCGCCTCCTGCCCGCAGCAATCAGCTGGCTTGCGGCATTCAGGGGGGAGTGGGGAGGAACGAGGACTCGGCGCACAGGCTCCCCCTTCCCTCACAGGAGGCAGGGGAAAGGGGGGACCCTGCGCGCCGAGTCCTTGCTCCTCCTCCCTCCCTCCTGCCCCCTGAACATCGCAAGCCAGCTGACTGCCACGGGGAGGAACGACGACCCGGCGCTCCTCCCTCCCCTGCCTCCTGCCCGTGGCAATCAGCTGGCTTGTGGTGTTTGGGAGATGGAGGGAGGGGGAGCCTGTGTGCCATGTCCTTGCTCCTCCCCCCTCCCTCCTGAATGCTGCAAGCCAGCTGATTGCCACGGGCAGGAGGGAGGGGGAGGGAAGAAGAGGTGGGTTAAGGGTGGAGGCTTGGGGGAAGGGGTGGCATGGGCGGGCTGAGGGTTGAGCCCCCCGCCCCTGGTGCTTGCAGAGTAGGGGAAGTTGCCGCTGCTGCAGCGCAACGTGCTTCTCTTAGCCTACAGCACCTTCAGCCTCCTTGCCTGCCTCACTGTCTCCAGTGCCAGTGGGCTGTGCTTGTGTGGGGTAAGGCGGGGGTACCTCCCAACTATAGTACTGTACTGTATGGCAAAAAAAAATTCCCTAGAACCTAACCCCCCCATTTACATTCATTCTTATGGGGAAATTGGATTCGCTTAACATCGTTTCACTTAAAGTCGCATTTTTCAGGAACATAACTACAACGTTAAGTGAGGAGTTACTGTATTCTGATGTGGGGCTCCCTCGGTCTCTCCTATTGAAGCTTTCTACTGTGTATACTTAATCATTGGGCCAGTGAGAGAAAGTGACTCTGTAGCCTGATGGTTAGAGCACCCACCTGGGAAGTGGGAGTACAAGAAATAGATGAGGTATCTGCTTCCTAGACTGACCTAAAATGTACTCTAATCTGTGTATCTTAATTTTCGTATTGTTAGTGACATTTGTTGCATTTACAATTGATTGATTGTTTTCCATGAGTCATATTCTTCTCTCTCTCACTGGTGTAATTTAGGAGTAACTCCATTGATGTGAGTAGAATTGTTCCTGAATTTTACTTGTGAGAGATCAGAATCCGGTTATGTGTCACAACATAGAATAAATTCGCATTAAAAGTAAAACGTCTACGCTTTATTCGTAGTGGTCCAGTGTAGTCCAAAGTCTTATTCTCTGTTTTTATCATTCTTGTACCTTTTGGATTTCATTTTTGGCTGTGTTGCTGTGCCCTACTAAATTTAAAAGGTTCCTTAGGTGACTCTGATTTAAATGCAAAGTTGAAAAAGCTGACTCCGAAATAATTTTTATACCTTTTTGGGTCTTTTGGTCTCATTTCTCATTAGTAGAATTTCATCAGGGACCTTCTCTTATGATTCACAATGATAAGTCAAGAGAAGCAGGAAACCAGTTTGCTGAAGGATCACATCCCCTCACGACTGAATTTATGAGCTACATCAAGGCAAGTTTGTGATCGATTTTAAATGAAAAAAATCTCATGACTACCTTCCTAGCAAGCAGAAATGATAAACTGTTGGCACCTTGCTATTAATAAGAGAAGTGCAACTGATATTCATCCTCATCAGTTCAGTGCCATAGAGTGCAAACATGAGTAGGCAGATTAATTATAACAGTAATTTTAAAGCTGTAAGGTCAGGTTACCCATAACTCTTATTCTAACCTAACCCTCACCCTAATCCTTGAAATCTGTCCTTTGTTTTGGTTTTGTTTGTTTTGTCGTTTTTAATTAGCAGATGTGTTCACCAGTAAAAGTTTACATTTTTCTTCAAGTTCTGGTCCCTATGCATATTGCACATGTGGTACACATTTGCTTCATGTGCCTGAGACTGGAGAATTGGCTAGTAGTGCCTGTTGGTCCATGCCAGCACCCTGGCATTCCTCATGTCCAGTACTGAGGTTATAAGGGGAGGCGTGGACTGCCTGCCTCTCTAGTTCCTTCTTACCGCCACATGATCTGAGTAGAATCTTCTGTGTCCGAAGCATCTTTATCGTCTTTTTATCTGTAAATGTGTTGTAAATTCTTAGAGTTTACTGTTTTTGGTATTTTTCTAGTAGCTTTTCATAGTTAGTATAAAGAGGACTATGCCCAAAGTTCTGGGGTTTAAGAACTTGCTATCCTGCCTCCATTTCCTTTTGGTCAGTGATGACCATCACTGCTGCCTTCACTGCCTAGGGGAGGCTCACATCTCCACCAAGTGTAGCATCTGCGACTCCTTTCTTCCTTGAACCTGAGAGGGAGGAGAGCTTCAACTGAGAATGTACCTCATGGTGAAAACCATGAGGCCCCAGTGGGATTCAGGCTCTGTAATTGGCCTCAGTCTGCGAGCAACATCCTTCTGAGCATGAGCTCTGGAGCAGAGGACAGATCTAGTAAGCCCAAGGACACGTTGTCTTGGGTCTCTCATGAGAGTAACGGACACTATCACGGACACAAGACCAGATCTCTTTCCAGATCCCCTCACAAAAGGAGGGATGCTTCCATGACTGCTTCCAAATCAGGTGTGTCTTAGACTTAGGCCAGCCTAAACCTCCTGACCATAAGGGTAAGGCACGCAGAATCAGGGATACATCGGTACTGACTCCAGTACCAATTAGCAAGCTGAGAGATTGGCATCTGCCGGCACCAACCATCAGCCCCAGACAAGGAGAATCTTCTTAGATGGTACTGGCTCACCCCCATAAGGATCCACCAACCCTAAGCACATGGATACGCCAAATCTGTCTGTACCAACTACCAGGACATCTCACATTCCCAATAGGACTGAGATTTATACCTCCCCAGAGGATATCTGTGCTCTACCTTATCGTCATTCTTCTCTTCTCTCAGGTCTAGCCCGTGTAAGGGATGTTTCGACACCAGAGGAGGAACCCACTTCGAGGACAAGAAGCTATTCCCCTACTCCATCCATTCATTGAGTCTCCCTTTACTGTTACCAATGGCATTGCCAGTGGAGACCGATCCAACCTTTTCATTGGCTCGTCTTGGATGTCAGATTCAGCCTTCACCTTCACGTGGGGAGGTTAACCCAGACAGAGCCTCTATACTATCTTGGACCCATCTTCCACCCAGACATGATTACCAGCAGTCCCTTGAGTACCCTATACATTGGAGTTCCCCTCAACCAGCATTTGGGGCCCTACTGGGGCCCCTGGGATCCCTAAACATGGCACCTTGGATCCATGCACGAGTCTGACTGACCCTCTTCCCCTAGACAACAGCAACCAGCTCTGCCAGAGCATGCGGAAGAGAAAGCTGTTGAGCAAGATCCACTGATACTGGCAGTATCGACAAGCATAGGCTATCGTGCCATTCTCACCATCCCTGCCTGATGACCACAGGCAATGCCAATAACTTTTGCAGAGGGTGGCGACTGAACTTCATATCCCACTTGAGGAGACCCATGATACACAGCATAAGCTCCTGGACATCCTGCAGTAAACACGTTCCTCATGGAGCCAGCCAGGGTGGTATGGCACACAGCAGCATCTTGCAGCCCTATCCCTAAAATGGCTGAGATATTTTGTAGCTGTGAAAGAGGCAGAATTTTTGTTCACTCACCTTAATCCCCAACTCCTTAGTAGTTCAAGCAGCAACACGCTAAGACTACCCAGGCAGAGAAGGATACTGAACACCTCGACCTTCTAGGGAGGAAGATATTCTCATCTACCAGCCTCCAGTTTAGAATTGCTAAGTGTAATTTTACAAACTACTCCAAATTTCTGTAATTTAAAGACAAACTCCAATTCTAAGCCCTTATTGATGAGGGTAAACTGGTAGCAAGGACCTCACTTCAAGACACAGTTGACACAGTTGATACCATACCTAGAGCCATAACAATGGCACTATTTATGCGGCACAAATCGTGGCTTCCGTCTTTGGGGCTCCCCATTGAGGTTCAGAATACTACTGAGGATCTTCCCTTTGATGGCTCTTACCTCTTTAACAAGAAGACGGATGAGTCTTTACACTCATTAAAAGGTTCCAAGACTACCCTCAACTCCCTGTGCATGTATACTCTAGCCCCGAAGAGGAGACACCATAAACAGGTGTACAAATCAAGGCTTGTTCCACAGCCTTTCTACCAACAGATCTCATGTGAACCACCATGCAAATGCCAGAAGGTGCGAAGACCAAGGTATCCAACCCCATCCACTTTGACATCAGCCACCCAATCCCATCTGCCAACTAAAGGTTACTTTTGAAGGGATGCTTGAGAACTGAGAACCATCATTGATGCCATCCCCAACTACTCTCCGAAGCTTTGGTGGCATACTTCCTCCACAACTGGAGGGCTATAAGAACAGACAAGTGGGTTCTGGATGTCATCCACTTTGGCTACATCATCGAGTAGAGAGGCGTCTCTCTCGTCCCCACCACAGCCCCAGAGCTGGGGCCGGGGAAGAGGTGTCTCTCCGGTCCCCGCCGCAGTCCCGAAGCTGGGGCTGGGGGAAAGGCGTTTCTCCCGGCCCCACCGCAGCCCCGCAGCTGGGGGAGAGGCATCTCTCCTGTCCCCGCAGCTGGGGGAAAGGCATCTCTCCCTTCCCCCCCACAGCCCCGCAGCTGGGGGAGAGGCGCCTCTCCCTGCCGCAGCCCAAGGGATGGGGGAAAGGCATCTGTTCCCCCCCCACCATAACCCTGCATGCCCCAAGCTCTCCCAAAGCCCTATCACTGTCCCCCACCTCACCACACTGCCCCCACCCACCCTACACATCCTCCACACCCACCTGTGTGTGTGGCTGGTGCGCAGCCCTTGATGGTCTGCTGTGCGCACCTTAGGGGGAACACAGGTGAGAGCTTCACTGTTCGGTCCTAAACGAAATCATCTCTGAATAGGGAATGCCATCCCGGGACTTGCTCACCTCCCAAATGAACAAGAACATCTTCTACTATCCTGGACAGACCACCTGAAGTATGCCTTTCCTCCCATTCCACTGGTCCCGCATGTTCTGTGGAAAATGTGCCATGACAAAACGTGCATCATTCTCATTGCACCCAACTGGCCCAGGCAGTTTTGGTTTCTGGACCTCCTGCAAATATCAGCCCGTCCTCCTCAGCATTCGCTCCCTCCCAGATCTGCTAACTCAGGAGAATGGTAGAATCATCATCCCAACCCACACCCTCTTCACTTCGTAGCCTGGTATTTGGATGGGCAGCAGACTTGGAGTCTTGGTGTGTACACATTTAAAGGGTGTTCAAACTGTTCGTAACCATGACAGAGAAGACTCCATGCGAAAATGCTGTTTAGCTAAATGAAGGCGTTTCTGTACCTGGATGCAACAAAACTAGTTAGCTCCAGAGGCGACAGGTATCCAGGCTACCTCACTCTCAGATATCAGGCCTTTCTTTTAGCTTGCTGTGGGTACACCTAGCAGCAATCAGTGCCCTCCACCTTTGGGTAAAGGGCTATTCTATTTTTACTTACCCGATAGCAGCCAGATTCCTGAAGGGTCTCACTAAGACTTTCCCACCAGTAGTAAAGCCAGCACCTCAATTAGACCTCAGTCTTTTTCTCTCAGTACTTACCAGACCACCCTTTAAATCATTGGCTACATGCTCAGTGTTCCACCTGTCAATGAAGGTCACCACCTTCATTGCCGTCACTTCAGTCAGGAGGGTGAGTGAACTGGTGGCACTCATGGCCGGCCCTCCATATTCCATAAGGAAAAAGTTTCCCTTCGCCTCCATCCAAAATTCACCCCAAAGGTAGTCTCCTACTTTCACATAAATTAATCAATTCACTTACTGGCATTCCTTCCAAAACCTCATACTTCCAGTGAAGAGAGGAGACTTCTTTCCCTCAATGTCAGATCACCTTTAGCTTTTTATCTGCAAAGAACTAAACCTATTAGGAAAACGCTCTTATTTGTCCCTATGGTAGAGTGATCATGGGGACAAGTGTGATCTCCTCATAGGCTGTCTAAGTGTATCTCTGGCTGCATCTTCTTTGCAATCAGTTAGCACAGCTCCCTGGGCATTTGTAGGGTGGCTACGTGGAGTTCTATCCACACCTACTTGAAGGATTATGCTTTAGTCCAAGACTCCTCTTCAAATGAAGTCGTTAGGAAAGTGGTATAACAGATCTATAGACCACCAGCACCCTCTCACCGCCTCCTCTTTCCACATTCACCCGCCTGTGGAATACACATAGGGACCAGCACTTGAAGAAGAAATGGAGGTTAGTTACCGGTAAATGGAGGTTTGTGAGATGTGTGTTCCCTATCTGTATTCCACTACCTACCCTCCTTCCCCTCCACTTTGGGTCATGTCTGGGTTCTCGGTAGAGAAGGAACTGGAGAGGTCCGGACCTTCCCTTATACCGTTGGTGCTGAGCACCAGAAACCCAGGGCACAGGCGTGGACCAACAGACATTATTTCAAATTCTCCAGTCTCAGGCACGTGGAGGGCACACGCACCACGCGTGAAATACAGATAGGGACCACGCATCTTGAAGAACCTCCAATTACAGGTAAGTAATTTCCATTTATATTTTTAATTAGGCATTTTTTTCATGCATGCACAGGCTACAGGGATGCCCAGGTGTCTAAAGTTATGAAAAGATGATGGGTTATAAATGTGCATTTAGTTTGTAAAGATCTTGGTAAAAATGTCAAGATCTCCAAAGACAAAGGATATCATCTGCTGTTTGGTAAGCTGAGTAAGGATGTACTTCTCTTGAAAAATACAGTGAATAAGGTTCAGTGACTACCTTTCTCAAAGGAGTCTGTTTGTAGTACTGGTAGCAATAAGGTGTGTGTGGTGTGGGGGAGTTAGAGCTATGGATAAGTTTAATGAATTATGTAGAAAGCCATGGGTTTTTCCTCAACAGAAACTTTGGAATTGTATTCATCAGTATTTCTCTTATATACTGTAGTGATCTACATCGTTACTAGTGAAAACTAAGGTGGCTTTACAGTGCGTGTGAGAATGCACATTGTCAGCCATTGTTCCTGCTTTGCCCCTTCACTGCCTTCATGGATAGTTGGTTAATCTTTGTGAAAATATTACTCTTGTATTGCTGGAATGGTTAGCGAACACTTTGGCTGTCAGCTATGTCGTGTCCAGCTGTGTAAATCGCATCTGCCAAGGAAATGCTGTAGCTTACACTTCTGACTGTTTTCAGAATTGGTCTGTGACTTCTCTTAGGTTGCTCCATTGTACCTCTCTGTAGTTTTCTGAATTGCGTGTTCTCCATTTTCATTATCCTCTGCCCCCTTTCTTATTGTGGAATTGGATCTTTTGCACCATTCCTGAATAATATCTCTCTGAGAAAGTTGCAGTAAAATCCTTATAAACGATCCATAAATCATTCATGAATACAGCCACTTAGTAATTCATGAATTTCAGCTGGTTCATTATGTAATGTAACATAACACGATTTTTGGACCAATTTCATCACATATCCCATAATAGTAGGATTTCTATGAAACTTTTTATGCCAAGGTTTGAACAATGTTTATTTTCATATGAGAATTTATTTGCTGGCCAGCTTTGCCAGATTTTTTTTTAAGGATAAAACGATCTGAAGAGGTCCTGTGTACTTGCCATCAAATTCCTTTCTGAGAGAAAAGTGCTAGATAGCCACGGTGGAGAGAACGGATGTGGTTTCCCGACCTCTTGGAAGTGGAGGGAAAGGAACTTCTAGGTGTGCAAAAGGACTTGCCTTTTTGTAATCCTTCACCCTATTTCCTCTAGCAGCACCACTCTTGCAGGTGTCATTCTACCAATGGCAGGGCCCCCTAGTAGTTTTGCAGTAGCAGCCATAGAGGGCATATACATTAAGAACAGTGTAAAAAAAAAAAAAAATCCCCAAACACTCTCAGCCCTCAGTGGCCTCTGCAAAAGAAAATGTAAACTGCTTAATTTAAAAATGTTTTTGTAAAACAGCACATTTCAAATATAGTTACTTGTATCAGATACCTACACTTATAGGGTGAGTGAAGGTATCTGAAGAGTGCAGTTATCCAATACATCCATGTTGCTTGTTGTTATTGCTTACTGGATAGATAAACACATCCTACAGTATCGTTAAATGTGGCAAGTGTTTATTGCTGGGATATTCTCTGATAACTATTAGGAAGAGTTTTTTATGGATGTTGGATATGTGGGATGTAATATGTCAGCTCTTGGAAAAAGGGTGGAGATTAAAAAAAGAGGGTCATTGAAACTACAAATTTTATTTTGTTTTGGTTTGCATTTTTCATTTAAAAACCCTGCAGATTTTTAAAAGAAATGACTTTCTTTTCATTTTGTTCAAAAATTTTCATGCAAAATTTTTTTTCATCCACCGAGCTCTAATATACACCTATATAATGCTTTAGATCTTCAAAGCACTTTACAAACATCACCTATTTAATTTTCACATCTCTTTTGTGAGGTAGGTAAGTAATGTTATCCCTGCCTGACATATGGACACGTAGGCATAGAGAGATTAAGGGAGACAGTTTTCTCTTGAGAATCAACATGGCGGGATAGAAGGAAATGGAAGATTTCTATCTACTCTCTCCTCCCCCAAACTGGATCTTCCATCAGAAGCTGCCATTAAATGCCTGTTGTGCATTAACACTTTCTCCCCTCTAAGGTGTGCTATAGAACTATTGGCTAGTCCCTCAACAATGCCCTCAGCCTGGCTATAATCTAGCATTTTCGGCACCTCATTGTAGAGTGTGTTGCAGAGCTTAGTTCAGGGATGCAGAGGTGCTGTTAAAGAATTTCAGAGTGGGAAAAATATTGCCTCAGATGTGGATTTTTATACCCTGTTGATGCTAATGACAGGTGAGATTAGCAAAAGTGCTTGAGCTAACAGTCCACAGGTTTTATGAGGGGGAGGGTTGAGGCAAGGCATTTTTCTTGTTGATCTGCAAGAGTGCGAATTTGTTGGGCTCTTTAGTTCACACTACAGATCTTATATATCTTTTTCCCAAGATGTATTTTGGGAAGGTAGGAGACTTTAAGGCTGATATAAATTATTGAAGCATATCCACACGAGAGTTTGAACTAGTTTAACTAAATTGATTTAAAACATAACTTGTTAAAATGGTACAACTTGCAATACAGACAAGGCCTTAGTTTTAGTGGGTTTGGGAGGATTTTATATGAGATTGGTCCTAATTTGTGTACTTTATTATTGAATTTGTGTACATAAGCCCAAAGCTTTAGATGGTCATCTTTTAAAACAAATTAACATAAATAAGGGTTAATGCAGATTTGTGACACATATGGTGGGGGGCATAATTATTTTTCATTGTATAAAATATCTGCATATTCTGTTGGAGAGATCAAATGCTTCATTATTTACTTAATGAAAAATAACAGATGAAAAGAATGGCTTTATTTGTGGTATTGGGGACTGACTTTGGGAATAAAGCCATATTTTGTGATGAAGAATGTTAGAGATGCCAGTGCACAATTCAGTGATACATCTGGCAGAATCAGACGGCATTTATTGGTACAGGGTTCCTGAGATGGATGTGCCAAACACATGGCATTGAAAATAGTCCTTTTGTCTGTTATTCATTCCCTGCCAGTGCAAGTGCACATCCATTCAGACAGCTTCCGTCCTTACTGGCAGCTGAATTATTTCAGTGTTTCTGCATGTTGGAGATGAAAATGAAAGCAAATGTATAAAGTTCCAAATGGAAATATAAGTATCGGATGCACCTTTACGAATATTAACCAGCAGTTCATAATTATGGATGCACCTGGTAGCAACTCCACAGTTGGAGATCTGTTATAAAATGGGGTTTGCATGAGGCACAAATTCTTGTTTTTCCCCCTAAAAGTAGGTGACAAAATTGGTGTGCAGTTTCCCACAATTAGTTTTTAAGATGTGAATTTTCTATGAGGTTTATGTTTTGTTTCTTTTAATAATTTCTAACAGGAAGCCTTTGAATTAGGGCTCTGGCTAAAATGTATCATTGGCAGATCTACTTTCATCATTAACTGATATTGCTTTAAAGCAGTGGTTCCCAAACTTGTTCTGCCGCTTGTGTGGGGAAAGCCCCTGGCGGGCCGGGCCGGTTTGTTTACCTGCTGTGTATGCAGGTTCGGACGATTGCGGCTCCCAGGAGCCACGGTTCGCTGCTCCAGGCCAATGGGAGCTGCTGGAAGCAGCGGCCAGTACGTCCCTCGGCCCGCACTGCTTTCAGCAGCTCCCATTGGCCTGGAGCCGCGATCGGCCAAATCTGCAGATGCAGCAGGTAAACAAACTGGCCCGGCCCGCCAAGGGCTTTCCCTGCTCAAGCGGTGGAACAAGTTTGGGAACTTTAAAGTATTATCTAAATGCACAAAACTTAGTAGAAAGGTGGACCTTGAGAAGATCTGGTTCTTTTAAAAAAAAAAAAAATGAATGTAATGTGATTTGTAGCCATTATTCACATTATAACTACACTTGTCTGTAAGAGTGTATCTTTCATCATATAAATGTACCTGCTGACTGACAAATATTTTCCTACTGCACTTCAAACGCCAACCCCTGTGGTCCACCCCTTCCTTCCTCATATATTGCCAATCCCCAAGTACACATTTAAAAAAATCCTAGAAAATTAATGCAGAAAAACTTTGTTATGAAGCACTCAGGATTGCTGTACACATGTCTGACACAAACCCATCGAAACAAGGAAATGAGAAGTGACCTAACAGTTATTCTCTTTCTCCACCCGCAAGCACACATCTTTACATTATCACAACTACAGTACAAAACAGATCATGCACCATTTAGCAACAAAGCTCTTTGTGTATTAATCTATCTTTAAATAGTGATGGAATGGTCTTGATTCTCCTCCCACATATGGGAGTTTAACACCAATGTAAGTCCATTGATTTCAGTGGAGTTACTCCTGATTTACTGGTGTAAATGAGAGGAGAATTAGGCTAATGCTTAATTGATAGGTTATTTGCATACATCAGAAGGATATGAGAGAAAATGGGGGCATTCAGTACATAATTCTCATGTTGGTTGACTTATTTTTATATTTAAATGAGGTTAGGCTTTGCCCTCAATAGAATGTGACAGTTTAATGAAAGTTGGTGTAATCAGTATCTTAGGTGGGGGTGGAGAAATAGCAATGAAGTACAGACCTTAGATTGCTTCAATTAACCACTCTAAACTGATAAATGAACTAGGTCAGTGCTTAGTCAGAAGAGGAAACTTATTATCTGTCTACTTTAATGGCAAATTTCTGTCCTAATGTTCAGTGTAATGTCTGTTCACAGGGCAGAGCAGCAGAATGTGATCAATTATTGCGAATAGAAGAGAACACACATTGGCAAACAGAAGGAATGTAAGTATTCATTTATGTACAATGAAATAATATCGGCTATAAATTTTAGGTGACCAAAATTTAATTTGTCTTTTGAGTATTTCCTTACCAGCTTATTATTTTGTATACAAGGAAGCATGACATTTATATAACAATACAATTTGTCTGCATTTTGTTATTTATAGTGTATTGATTAACACAGTGAAAATTTTATTAAAATCAATATATTTGTATGTACCTAGAGAATACAAGTGTTGTTCAACTAGATACTGACATTACATCTGCTAATAGTATTTGTAAAAGGGCAAAAGGCCTGTGTCAACATTTTTAAGGCCAAAGTTTGACCTATGATAAAAATGTTATAATTTGATTGGAAAAATGCTGAAACTTAGGGTGTGTGTGTGTGTGTATATGTGTGTTTTAACACACTTTCCTGGCCCTGTAATAATAGTTAATTCAAAACACTATTTCAAGACTGGTGCTGACAAACATCAGTCGATGAACATACGTGAAATAGATGATTTACAATGAAACTGAACTGTTAATTGAAGTTTTTGTTAAGCAAAACAACAGTGTTCATTTCTGCTTTGCTAAAAGTTCAGATGAAAAAAATCAGTAGTTGCCAAAAGAATTAAGAAAAATTAGGTTCTTTTAAAGCTTTTAAAAGTATTACAAACACTTCAAACTAAAAGATAAAATACTATTTTAAAAATTGCCAGTGTCCTTATACTAGAACAATAAACTTCATTAATCAAATAAAAAAATTGTTGGTAATTAAATTATTTCAGCATCAGAAGTCAGGCTGTTTAAATTGATTGAAATGATAGATGGGGGAATAACTATTTAGTTCATTGTCTTCTAAACTGACTTCCTAATTTCCACATGAAAATTTCCAAATACTACATCTGCATATTAATATGCACAAATACAGGATTTTACTATACAATTTAAACAGCCAATTTGAAAATATTGCCCATTGATTTAAATTCTAACTCCTTTCATACTCACTGTAGTGTCTTTGTTTCCTACTGTAGAACAAATACATCAAACAAGCAAAATATTGATATAGCCATGATAGATCATTTAAAAGAAGCAGTAGATTTGCTACAAGATCCCAACAGGTATGCTCATATCAGAGGATCTCCTGATGTAAGTAATATGTTGTATAGGAAATTCTGGGAGGGTCAAAGTCAAAAAATGTTCTCTCTCTCTCTCTCTCTCGCTCTTTTCTTTTTCATGACTAAATGCCTTCTGCCCTGCATCAGTGGGATGTGGGATGTTAACTAGACAGCAGGGGATATGGCATGGTGCCTGGAAGGGCATGGGGGATGTGAGAATGCACAGTTGGCAAGATGGGTCTGGCTTCTCCCCCTCTTCGGATCCTTCACCTTTCCGTTGCCTGAGGCTGAGGGGACTGGGCTGGCTGATTGGCTCTGGCATACCCGTTCCACTATTTAAACTTTTCCAAGCTTTTCAATAGCTTCTTATACTTGTTAGCTGCTCTGCCCTCCTTCCCTTTAGTTGTAACATAGGAGTTGCATTTTCAGCATACTGCTGGATTGGCTAATTGTCTGTTTTGGGAGGAGGGAGAATTTTTCCCATTGGGTCAAATTGACTGAGTGATGGGGGTTTTTTTTGTTTTTGTTTTTTTATCTTTGGCAGTGTGTTATGGAGGCTCAATTAGGTTGAAAGCAATAGAACTTGAAAGTTTAACATTAGGAAAGGTATGGTTTTCTAGTTTGCCGCAACTTGTAGGTAAATGCTAAAAGGGTCAGCTCCCAGAGATAAATGAGACATGGGGTTTTGCTAGTTGACCTCATGCCTATATGAGACGGGACCAACTGGTCTTCAGGAAGCAGTAGAGAGGATTCCAAAGTGAGGAGAGTCCTAGGGGTAGTTTGAGGAGGGTCTAACCTGACTTATTGGTTATAAGGTGGGAGTTTTGTAACCCCACAATAGAACCAGTCAAATGTCTGGTATGTGAAAGCAGGGGGTGGTGCATAGCACCCCTATTCCACGTTAAATTAATAAAGTTGTGGCCTGACATTTAAATTCATCCCTGCATCTGTCGTTCAGTCACCTGAATGTTCTTATTAAAGTATGTTTGGCTGTTAAAGTTATTTGTTAGTATACAAGGTGTTCTTCAGGAATGGGTTATCAGATGTTCTTAACTTGACAAGTTCATAAAAAAAGAAAATTAATTGTTGTGACCTTTTGACTAAGAGTATCTTAGATATAATCTCCCCTGGATAGTATGCATAGGAGTCCCATTATTTTAACACAGTGGTGCCCAAACTTTTCCTGTCGCCATCCCCCGACCCTCACCAGAAATGGAATCTGTCCATGCTTCCCCGCCCCCTTCGTTACTGCACAGTTGGCTCAACAGAGGAGCTTGGGGGAGCAGCTGGGGCTAGAGGCGGAGCTGGCTTGGGGGCAGAGCCGCGGGGGAGGGGGGGAGAGAGCAGAGCAGAGTGGAGCTGGGGCTGGGGTTGGAGCTGGCCTGGGGTCGGAGCAGGAAGTAGAGTGGAGTTGCGGCTGGGGGGAGAGCTGGGCTGGGAACGAAGCTGCAGCTGGGACCAGAGCTGGGCGGGGGCAGAGTGGGGCTGTGTGGCACCCCTAGTGGGGTGCGCCCCACAGTTTGGGGACCATTGTGTTAACAGAAACTGTAAATATAATAGAAGCGTAGGAATTATAGATGAAGAAAACCTATTTAATCCAGCCATCTAGTTGCACAGAACTGTTCCCCACAATGCTTTTTCTGATGCTTTGTCTAGCTTAATTTAAACTTTTTCTAGGGATGCATCAGAAAAAGATATAAGCCCCACTCTATACTTACAATTGCCCAGTGGGAGTAGGATCAGGCCCTTTGTGAATGAACAAAGGATCCGTTTGTTCAGTTGTTCTAGTAAATGTATTGCCTGCTCACTTTGCAAATACTTCCCCTTTTAGTTCAGAAGATGAATTTACTTTAGCTCGTGCTGGACAGTTGTCTCTAGAAATGTTTGTTGGTTTGAATTAGGTAAGGCAGGTGTTTTTGATTCATAAAAGAGAAATAATCTCGCCAGTTAGAAAAGTTTGTTCATATTAGTTCTGAATTCAGTAATGCAACATTCCAGGTGGCATTGCTTCTGCACCTCACCTGAGGCATGCTCTTTTAATTGGAACAAATGTTGCTATTTAAAAAACAACAACTTTAGTTTAAAAAATGTATTAATCAAACATAACAATGAAAAGGTTTCAGTTCTCACTCTTGTAAATGATTCTGTTTGTCACTTAATAACTCAGTGCTGTAACTCATAACACTACACATCTTTCCCCTACCAAACAGAGAAGAGACATTTAAAAATGTAAGGAATTGTTGTTTTAATATTTCAGTTTAACTAGGTTTCTTATTCCGAATATATATTATGAAGCAAATACATTTGCAATACTCACTTGTCCGTGAATATTCAGATGGGCTGTTTATTTCAAATACTGCTGTTAAGGATAGCCAATCATGCTGTACATATATACAAAACCAGTAAAGAGAAATGTAGAAAATTAAAATATGTAGGAGTGCTTATTCTTTTTCTTTGTGATTTTAAGATGTGCTTAACTACATGGCTATAGTCTGAACAGTAAAGAGCAAGTTGCACTAATTTCCCAGTTGGTATTTTGCTATTTGTGGCAATTCCAACCCACTTCTAAAGAATAATGGGAACTAGTATTCTGTTGGATTTGCGTATGTACAGTTGAATAAGAATTTGCATAACCTGCTGATCAAGGTTTAATATTGTAGTCTTGCATTTGGGTATTGAAGTGAGTGGTGTGTAGATGGGGAGTTGTAAGTAGTTGAACAAGAAAAACATGATTTAATATATCCATTTTTAAAAAATAAATATTTAATAGAATGTTCATCAAAGATGTACCCCAGTGCATTGTTTTTATTTCACACCTTACAGATTAAGCATGGATATTACAGAGAGCAGTGGTGTGAATCTGTATCCCATGGAATCAGCAACAGATTTAGAATTACAGGAGTCTACAGTAAAGTGTGTTTATATTCCTTTTTCAGAAAAATAATGGATTTGCTGAAGTTTCATATTCAAGATTCTACACTTTAAAATTTAATGTGTTGTGTTTTGTATATCCACATACAGTGGCCAAATGCAGATGGAGGAGGCTCCTATCTATCAGGTAGGCTGTCACTATATTACAAAATATCCAAGAGAGAGACAGAAAATGGATCACCAATTACATTAGCTATTGGACCAGTAAATGAACAAAATTTAGTGTTCTGCAAGAGAAAAATATAGCTGTAGTTCTTTTGGAAGTTTTGCATATCTTTTTGTAAAATTAATTTTTGCTTTTACAATTTTTTTTAATAGCTCATAAGGACTTTTTTAATGTACAGAGATTGTTATTTTTAATCTCTGTAGTCTTTTGCCTTCATTGTGGGGACTACACTTGTTGCTGCAATCATAGTTCTGCCTGCAATTGTCCCATTGAGCCAAATACTTCAAGTATTGCAATGGCCATAAAAATACATGAATTGTCTGTAGCCCTTTGCTAAATGCATTCTTATTTGTTTTTCTTCCTACCCCTATTCTTTTTAGTGCTGGAAAACTATAATGTAGCCCGGGAGCCTCAAACCCTATCTCCGGGGCAGGAGAAAGAGCTATGTAATAATCTGTCCCCTTGACACTGTTGTTTTGTCTACACCATGAAAAAGTCTGCACTGGGAAACCATTTTAACCAGCACAACTTTTGCCCCCAATATGGGTATGGCACAAATGTATGTAAACTAATCCGAAGACTAGAAGAGAAAAGTCTCCAGAAACTATTTTATCCAAATTATCTCTGTCCACACTGAGGGCAAAACCATGCTAGCTAAAACCAGTCTCCTGATATAGTCTCTTTTCACTGTGCCCGAGGGTTCAATGGACTACCATCACCATGACAGTGCACTAAAACGTGGCTTGTAGAGCTGGCACCTAGATAAGATCGCTTTGTACATGAGGCTACTGAATAAGAATTTGTAATTCTTACTGTTTATTGCTATTGCAGAAGAGTAATAACTCCCTATATGTGTCCTAAGTTTTTGTATATGCTACTGTCTGGGCAGGAGCACCAGAGAACACGCAATCAATAAGTTCTTACACCATTGTGTTCCTCATTTGATATGCGTGCACACATTAATAATTATAACAGAGTTAGTACTTATTTTATAGATCATGTACTTAAAAATATGAATCTCTTTGGTGACTCCATGCTATATATCTTCAAACTCACCAATGTTTCTCAACTGGTGTGAGCTGAAACTCAAGTCAATATTCAAAATTTGCTACTGTATATCTAGTGTCATATTTTGTGCCAGGATAGTACCAATCTTTTGCAGACCTTTTAATGTACTGCTTTACACATAATCACACCAACCTGGCAACATGAAGATGATGTGTTGTACTACATTTAACCTCCAGTAATAGCATTTGAAACATTATATACATTAATGTGTTTTTAATATATTACACAATATTTTACATTTATAAAGTACCATTCATCGTTAACCATCTCAAAGCACCATACAGCCTATTAAACCAAAGAATTATTTCTACAAACCATTATCACTATAGTTATACAAAATTTTAACGTGACTTTGATTTGGAACTTAGTTTAATATTTGCTGCTTACTATTTGATTCATATCCAATCCAGTGAACTCTAAGGAGCTCAGTATTATTTGTTAAATTATTTGTTGAAGCATTCAGAATCATCTGTTGGTAAGCACTGGCACTGTCTATCTTCTTATTTTTATATGGTTCACTTCCACTCTTGGATTGCTCTTCACAGTATTTGTTCAAAACTACTTGTAAGAGTGTGTTAAGAAAAAGTTGGGTATTTGTTTCTGATCCCCAGCGCTGTGCATAAAGTCTCAACAGATGTGTACCTTGCAGAATGAAAATGCTGAGGAGGAATTAGAATTTCAGAAGAGGAGAGAATTGATTATAGAGAAAACCAAGACTGAAGCCAAAATAGCATGTAAGCAGGATGAGACGCAACTACTGAGTCAGGTATGGAGGAGCCTGGGTACAACATATTTATCTAGTCATAGGACCTCTTGAAAAGGGATTCCAAATAATTTTATCCTATTCATTGGTGTGCAGAGAGAAGTATTCTTTTATAGGCTAAAACCTGACTACTTTGGGGGTTTATGCCTTAGCATGAACATAAGAACGGCCATACTGGGTCAGGCCAGTGGTCGATCTAGCGCAGTATCCTGTCTCTGACAGTAGCCAGTGCCAGTTGCTTGAGGGAATGGAAGAGCAGGATAATTTCAAGTAACCCCTCCCCGGTCTTCCAGTCCCCAACTTCTGTCAGTTGGTGGTTTAGGGAAACCCATAGCATGGGGTTGCATCTCTGCCTTCTTGACTAATAGCATTGATGGACCTATCCTCCATGAACTTATCTAATTCATTTTTGAACCGGCCTTCACAGCATCCCCTGGCAATGAATTCCATGGATTGACTGTGCGTTGTGTGAAGAAATACTTCCTTTGTTTTGTTTTAAACCTGCTGCCTATTAATTTCATTTGGTGAAACCCTAGTTCTTATGTTATGTGACGGGGTTAATAACACTTCCCTATTCACTTTCTCCATTACCATTCATAAATTTATAGAACTCTACCATATCCCCCCTTAGTTATCTCTTTTTTAAGATGAACAGTCCCAGACATTTTTATCTCTCCTCGTGAAAAAGCTGTTCCATACCCTTAATCATTTTTGTTGCCTTTCTCTGCACCTCTTCAATTCTAATATATCTCTTTTGAGATGGGGCTATCAAAACTGTACTCAATATTCTAGGTGTGGGTGTATGGTGGATTTATATAGTGGCTTTATCATAGTTTGTTTTATCATCTCTATGTCTTTCCTAATGGTTCCTAGCCCCCTTTCGCTTTTTTGACTGCCTCTGCACATTGAGCAGTTTTCAGAGAACTAACCACGATGATTTCAAGATTTTTTTTTGAGTGGTAACAGCTAATTTAGACCCCATGATTTTGTATGTATAGTTGGGATTATATATTCAATGTGCATTACTTTGCATTTATCAACATTCAATTTTATCTGCCATTTTTATCACCCAGTGACGTAGTTCAATGAGATCCCTTTGTAACTCTTCAGTCAGCTTTGGACTTAACTATTTTGAGTAATTTTGTATCATCTGCAAATTTGCCACCTCACTGTTCACCCTCTTTGTCCAGATCATTTATGAATATATTGACCCGCACGGGTCTCAACACGGATCCTTTGGGAGCATTGCTATTCATCTTTCTAAGGATTTGGCTCTAGAATAGAAATAAATAAGAATTAGCTCCTGGGGGAGAGGAACTGGTATATTGAAATTCAGCATAACGGGAGACATTTATAAAGGAGATTTTGCAAAATACAGTGACTTTAATCTTGTAGGAAAAGAAAGGACACAACACTAGCAGGATTTGGCCCTTCAATGAAGTTGAAAAAATATTTCTTCAAGATATATATGTTCTTAGGCTATTGTAAACAATAGTGTCTTTAAAACACAAAAGTTTAATATTACAGAAAAAAACTATTTACATGTTGAAGTAATTATTAATCTTCAAGATATCTTGGTTTTGTGTGTGTTGTCATCAAAATTTAAGATGTCTGAAAATTATGTTTTTAATTTTTGTTGATATTTAATATCTTGAACCTTGATTTTGACAGTGTCCTTGCAACAAGACAGAGAACATAGTTATATATCATTCCACATACAATTAATTTGCAAATACCTGTAATATCTTCTGTGTATCCAGAGTCTCTATTTGTGTATCTTGAATTTCTTCTTCACGTGATTGCACATGTCCATTCCACTGTAGGGTGTGTGCGTGCCTCATGTGTAAGGCTACGATTTAGTCACGGGTATTGTTAGTAAAAGTTACGGACAGGACATGGGCAATAACCAAAATGTCACAGCCGGTGACCTGTCCAGACTTTTAGTAAAAATATCCCTAACTAAATTTTACCTGCTTGGGGCGGAGGGACGGGGGGGGTGTAAGGTGGGGGGGAGGAAGGCGCGGTGCTCCAGTGGACTCTGCTGCTCCTGGGGGAGGGGGTGGCCTGGGCCTTGACACTGCTGCTGCTCCGGGGGTGGGAAGGTGGGGGGCGGACCGGGGCCTCACCGCCACCATGCTGGGCAGGGGGGCAGCCACCGGGCCTGAGGGTGGCCTGAGGCGCTGCTGCTGCTGCTCTCGGACCACTGCCCTGGGGCAATGCCCCGGATCAGTTGCCTGGGGCTGCCAGAGCAGTGGACAATGCGGCTGGACCCAGAGCCACCCCAGCAGTGCGGCCCTGGGGTCAGCCACTGCAGCTGCGGAAGTCATGGAGGTCCCGGAAAGTCACGGAATCCATGACTTTCCGTGATCTCCATGAAAGATTCGCAGCCTTACTCATGCACAGTTGTAGGAGATTTTCCCCTCAGCAATACCTGTCAGGGCTGCATGAGTACCGTTTGCTGCCTCATGCCACTGAGAGCAGGTATAAAGGGCAGAGCAGCCCCCGACCCCACCCCCCTAGTTCTTTCCTACTGCCAGTGATGGTTGTTGGAACTGCTATCTTTGCATTTGCAAGTTCTACTCTCTTTTATGTAAATAGTATCTGTTCTATTAATTTTAGGCTACTTTGATCTTTGGAATGTACAAAAACTCATGATCAGACATAAATGGGCCCCACTTCCATATCAGTGGCCCTTTTGGAATATTTGGGGCTTCCCTCCACAATTTAGTGTTCTCCATTCCCTTCCCACCCATCTACTTTGGCTAGGTGTCAAGAGCATCTACAACAGGGTCACCATCTGCCCACCCCCTGGATCGTTCATGCTCTGAGTTCCCCTGTGGAGGAATTGGAAGAGGATCCATCTCAACAACCCTTGGCCTGCTCTTCTTTGTTGCCTGCTGTGGTGATAGGAGTCTGCATCTCCCCCCCCTGATGAGTATAGAGCTCATCAGGACTTGTTGAGGAGAGTGGTTGCAGCTCTGGAAATCCAACTGGAAAAGGTACAGGAAAAGTTACACAGGCTGGTGGACATTTTGGCCTGGGGGGGTCCTTCTAGGGTAGCACTGCCTATTAATGAGGCTATTCTGGAGCCTGTCAGGGCATTTTGGCAGACCCCATCTTGCCTGCCTCCCACTGCAAAAAACGGTAGAGAGAAAATATTACATTGCTTTGCAGGGTTTCGATCATTTTTATAACCATCCTCCTCCAGGCTCCCCAGTGGTCTCTGGTGTTAACAAAAAAGAGAAGCAGGGACATCAGGCCTTGACACTGAAAGGGAAAGAAGCAAAGAAATTGGACCTTTGTTAGACGGAAGCTTTATTCCACAGGAGATTTACAGATTAGAATCGCAAACCAGCAGGCTCTGATGGGTTGATACAAATTTAGACTGTGTGATAACGTCTTGAAATTTAAGGACATGCTTCCGGATGAGGTAAAACAAGAGGTCACTGCGATGGTGGAGGAGGGCAAGTTAGTTGCCAGAACAGCCTTACAGGCAAGTCTATGTGATGGACTGTGCAACTCAAGCTATGGCTTTTGCCATCACTGCGTGGTGCTCCTCTTGGCTGCAGTCATCAGGTCTTCCCCCAGAGGTTCAACAAACCATCAAAGACCTCCTGTTTCAAGGCTCTTCACTCTTTTCCAAAAAGAAGAAAGAGAGGCTACGTAGTCGTGAGGCTTGAAGGGCGACCCTTAGATCTCTGGGGATTTATATGCCAGCGACAAAAAGAAAGCCAGTCTGCCCACAGCAACTGTTTCTGCCTTTCATGCCTTGTATCCAGGTCCTCTCCAGAAAGAGGGGTAGAAGTTACAAGAGGCGTCCTCCTCCTCCCTACTCTTCTGCAGCTACTTATTCATCTAGGCAAGCTGGGCCCTCTAAACAAACATTTTGACCCATTTGTCAAGAGCAGCCTACCACCCCCGAAGGTACCAGCTTTCTCCACCCCGCTATTTGCCAACTGACTGTCCCATTTCCTAAGTGCTTGATCCTGCATCACTACGGATCAGTATGTCCTAAGCACGGTGGACTGGGATATACCCTTCAATGCTTTCTATCCCTCCTCCCCACCCCCCATTCCCGTCCCTCTTCAGGGACCATTCTCACAAGAATGCGCTAGTTCAGGAAGTCCAGTCTCCCCTTCTTGTGGTGGCCATACAGGAAGTTCCCATGTTTCTCATGGGGAAGGGATTTTATTCCTGATACTTCCTAATCCTGAAAGTAAAAGGGGATCTCAGGCCTACCTTAGATCTAAGACAGCTAAACAAGTTCCTACAGAAAATAATCTTCTTCTTCTTCTTTGAGTGATTGCACAAGTCCATTCCATTGTCGGTGACTCACAGGCAGTTCATACTGTACTGGCAAGATGCACCTTTAGATCTAGAGCAATGACCTACATTGTTTGGAATCTCAACCCTGCCAGGAAAGCGTTGGCCTCTGTAGAGTCCAGGTCTGCCCCAATAAGTTCTTTCCTCTGTACAAGTCAGAGTAGATTTCTCCGTAGTCATTAGGAGCCCCAGTGTGTCGAAGGTGGACTGTATAGTGACCTCGCTGGACCGTACCTGAGACCTGGACCAGCCTCTTACTAGCCAGTCTTCTAGGTAAGGGAATATGTGAACTTCTGGAGCTGTTTACAGGCCACTGTGAATTGGTAGTGGAAATGGCTGACCATGAAACTGAGGGTTTTTTGGTGGCTCTGGTGAATTGCCATGTGAAAATCAGCATCTTTTAAGTTGAGGACAGCATACCAGTCCCTGGGATCTAGGAAAGGGATAAGTGAAGCTTGAGTGATCATCCAGAACATATGGTTGCTAACCTTTTTCTGTAATTATTGTTCTTTAGTATGTCCATTCCATGACCCTCTCTCCTTCCCCTCTCTATCAGATTCTATCTGGTAGGAAGGAACTGAAGGGATTTAGGGGTGGCTCTGCTTTTTATACCTGCATGCAGTGGCACAAGCAGTAGAGGGCGCTCACACCACCCTGACAGGTACTGCTGAGGAAAATGTTTCCAACAGCTGTGCATGAGGTGCGCTCACAGCCTACGGTGGGAATGGACATGGGCAATACATCTCAAAGAACAACAGTTACAGAAAAAGGTTAGTAACTGTTTCTTTTCAAAGTATTTCCTTACCTATTCTTTACCAATATCTATTATTGTGAGGTCTTAATTACTTCATATTTCTCCAAATGTCTTTGTGCTTTTTGCTGAAGATATATTTTAAAGGAATTCAATATCACAACTTTATGCATGTTTCCACCAGGGCTGTCGATTAATCGCAGTTAACTCACATGATTAACTCAAAAAAAGTAATCACGATTAAAAAAATTAATCGCGATTACTCGCAGTTTTAATTGCACTGTTAAACAATAGAATTTTATTAAATTGAAATTTATTAAATATTGTGGATGTTTTTCTACATTTTCAAATATATTGATTTCAATTACAACACAGAATACAAATGTACAATGTTCACTTTATATTATTTTTATTACAAATATTTGCACTGTAAAAATGATAAAATATTATTTTTCAGTTCCCCTCATACAAGTACTGTAGTGTGAACTCTTTATTGTGGAAGTACAACTTACAAATGTAGATTTTTTTGGTGACATAACTGCACTCAAAAACAAAACAATGTAAAACTTCAGAGTCTGCAAGTCCACTCAGTCCTACTTCTCGTTCAGCCAATCGCTCAGACAAACAAGTTTGTTTACATTTATGGGAGATACTGCTGCTTGCTTCTTATTTACAGTGTCACCTAAAAGTGAGAACAGGCATTCACATGGCCCTGTTGTAGCCGGCATTGCAAGGTATTTACCTGCGATATGCTAAACATTTGTATGCCCCTTCATGCTTTGGCCACCATTCCGGAGGACATGCTTCCATGCGGATGACGCTCGTGAAAAAAATAATGAGTTAATAAAATTTGTGACTGAACTAATTGGGGGAGAATTCTATGTCTCTTGCTCTGTTTTTTACCCGCATTCTGCCATATATTTCAAGTTATAGCAGTCTCGGATGATGACCCAGTATGTTGTTTTTTTTAAGAACACTTTCACTGCAGATTTGACAAAATGCAAAGAAGGTACTAATGTGAGATTTCTAAACATAGCTACAGCACTTGATCCAAAGTTTAAGAGTCTGAAGTGCCTTCCAAAATCTGAGAGGGACAGGGTGTGGAGCATGTTTTTGGAAGTGTTAAAAGAGCTACACCCCCATGCAGAAACTACAGAACTCAAACCACCAAAAAAGAAAATCAACCTTTTTGCTGGTGGCATTTGACTCAGATGATGAAAATGAACATGCATTGGTCTGCACTGTTTTGGATCATTATTGAGCAGAACCCATAATCCGCATGGACGCATGTCATCTGGTATGGTTGTTGGAGCCTGAAGGAACATATGAATCTTTAGCGCATCTGGCACGTAAATATTTTGCAGCTCTACAACAGTGCCATGCGAATGCGTGTTTTTACTTTCAGGTGACATTGTAAATAAGTGGGCAGCATTGTGTCTTGCACATGTAAACAAACTTGTTTGTCTGAGCGATTGGCTGAACAAGAAGTAAGTCTGAATGGACTTGTATGCTCTAAAATTTGACATTTTTAAATTTTTGAATGCAGTTATTTTTGTGTGCATAATTCTACATTTCTAAGTTCAGCTTTCATAATAAAGAGATTGCACTACAGTACTTGTATTAAGCGAATTGAAGAATACTATTTTTTATTTTTACACTGCAAATATTTATAATAAAAATAAAGTGAGCACTGTATAGTTTGTATTCTGTGTTGAAATTGAAATCAATATATTTGAAAATGTGGAAAACATCCAAAATATTTAAATAAATGGTATTCTATTATTGTTTAACAACGCGGTTGATCACGATTAATTTTTTTAATCGCTTGACTTAACTTAATATTCTTAGTCCATGGGGTCACTAAGCTCTATCTCACATATAATACCATTTTGAAACCTATTCTGAGTGTGTTATTAAGAGTGCACATAATGCTAGCTTAGAATCTAAATATATTTTGGTTTTCTACTTTACTAAACAATGAAAATTTCAATGGATTTTTAAGGATCTTGACTTCCTCTGAATACTTATATAGAGCAGATTCTGGAAGTTGCTATTCACTTCTTGGAAAGTCCTGAGTTCCCTCAAATATCAGTTAAGTCAAATAGGAGTTGGAGGCACTTGGGCCCAGATCTGCAAAGGTATTTAATCATCTAAACCCCAGTCCATAGGTTCCTAAGTCCCAATTTTAGGCTTCACTATGATCTTCAAAACCACTGCTTGGCTGGCACCTAACTCTGTAGTGAGCTAAACTCATTCAAAAACTCCTACATTTTCACTGTAAAAGTTCCATAGCTGCCAGTGTTTCTGCCTCTCAGCATATGCACTGCCACTTCACTCTGGGTATTGGGATGTCTTTCTCATGCTTAAGCCCCGGTGTGATCCATGAACTGGGGGATGAAAGGCAGAGGAGTACCTGTCTCACTGTGGGACTTGATCCGGTAGATGTGCTCAGAGACCACCTACTGGGTCAGGCCCCATTCAAAATCAGGCCACTGGAGAAGGTGGTGCTCCTGCCCATCTTCTAACTTTTAGCCCAGTGCTGTCAGCACTTGCATGGGATGTGGGAGACCTGGGTTCAGTTCCCCACTCAGGTAGAGGGGGAGAGAGGATTTGAACAGGGGTCTCCCACATTTCTCAGGAGAGTGTTCTGCCCACTGGTCTATGGGATATTTTGCTGTGGGGCTCCCTCAATCTCTCCTGTTGAAGCTGTTCTGCTTTGGATTAATTAAATACTGATTGGAGTAGGATATTGGACCCTGGGTCTCCCACATGCCAGGTGAGTGCTATAACCACTGGGGTAGACGTTAGGTGGGCACCACCAGCTCCTCCTCTGCCTTCTCTAGCTGTTTTGTGTGAAGTAAACAAGACATCTAACTCATTTGCAGAAGAAATGACTTAGGCACCTAAGCTCCCTGACTCCAAGAGACTGGTTCCTGTCTATGGATTGCTAGCAGAGAGACCTGCCTCCCTATAGCCTGGACTTAGGCACCAAACTCCTGAGGGGAACGGAGCGTAGGATGCACCTCTTTTCAGCATTTCCTGTTGGCTAGTTTATGGAGCTTCCCACCTAGCATGCTGGTTTAGTGTATCCCATTCTTAGCCGCCTATCTGTCCTCATTCATTATACAGGGAGGCTAGGCAACGAACCCCAGCATTGTCCATCCCTTCATTGTTTCTCTGATTTTCTAGGCGCATAGAAGTTAGGCATTGCAATTCTGAGCGTCGTAACGCTTCAGCCCTTTTGTGAATCTAGGATCAGTATGCTGCTGAAAGTTCTTGATATCAGTAGTGTTGTATACAGATTCAAACTTCTGACGGTGTTAGTGATATTAACAGAGCATGTGTCACAACATATCAATGTTATGAAAGTGACTTTTTTGATATAGCATGATTATTCTATACTGTAACAGATCTGGCCTGTTGAGCAGGTAATGCCAGGATGTCTGTTACAAGGACATAGACCTCTTTAGCCGGGGGGTTGTTGAAAGCTGCCGTCTCCAGGCAGGACACATGAAGAGGGGTCTACTGACTTAGAATGCTCTTATTCAGTCTAGAGAAGATAAGGGTTGATTAAAACCCTGAGGGAAGTCCTTTCATGAAGACTTGACAAGAGGACTCGGAGGTACACAGGAAAGGCTATGCAGGGAGGAAGGGTGTGTCTTCTCCCATCCCAGCTTGCTGAAAGGTGGAAGCAGTCTTAGTGGTTGGGACCAAGTGTTCTGCATTGCTTTATGTTTGTTCCAAACTTTTTTGCAATACTAAAGCTGGCCCTGAGAAAAAGGTGTTGCATTGAACTGTGGTTTGGCCTTTGTTTTACCTTCCATAGCTGGTGTATCTGCCCACTGGCTTACATATAAATGATACAGTGTTAGTATTTGTAAGTCATGTTGTGAAATATGCAACATACATTGTCAGTCTGATTATGTTTAAAGAAGTGGCAAAAGATAAGTTGTACCATTATTGTAGAACTGTCTCCTGGTAAATCTTTAAATCTATATTAAAATAGTTTTGTTTGGTGCTTGTTTAAATTATGAACTCCATAGAACACCCTGAAATATTGACCATGAACCATGAACTCTGTATTAAAATGTTATAACTTGTGAATCAAATATAACCACCAACTTACGTAGTGCTAGATTATTTTTAAAAGTCTACAAATTACTTTTATTTCTGTTCTAAATGAGGAAAATGTAATAAACTCAGTTTCCTCTGTTTTAATGAGACTGTCACTAGCTCGTTTAAGAATAGAAATGTGTACGTGTGTTCTTCCTGAAAAAGAATTGTTTCACTGAAAGGTTAACTAGTCTTTGAAGAAGAAAAGTATTATATAAATGCTAAATATGATTCCTATTAGTTTAGGATTGTACTGTAGTTTTTACTTTAAGTTCCTATTCACTCTAATTCTCCTTGATGAAAGTGTGGGTAGGATGGCATAGGTTCCCTAAATCTCTCTCTATGGCAATATAAACCTACTTGTGAACAAAATGCTCTTTAATGTATGATAAATTTACTTACTGAACCACTTTATTTCTATTCAAACATGCAGAATGATCTGATTGTCTGGAATATAGGAGGATGCAGTTCTCACAATGAGGTGAGATACTACTGGTATTTGTGTGTGTCTGTACTGTACTATCTTTCCAGTCTTAGCTCTCCATGGTACAGAAGGGTACAATGTTTATCCCCCATATTCTTCCACCCATTGCTGTACTCCTTCCTTTCCTCCTGCATAGATCTGCAGACCCAGTACAAGGTCCAGGGGGAGGTAGAAAGATGCTCTAAGGTGTCTAAGTAACATCCCCTTTTCTGGTTTTTGTTGCTTGGATTTGTGCTGGTTTTCCTTCCGCAGAATTTCACAATACAGTAGACAAAGCAGTTAGGCAAGGAAGGTGTTGATGCAATGGAAGAACAGAATGTATGTAAGGAAGGAGCGTTTTTTCTTATTCATTCTAAAATCCTGCACTATAGTGATGAATTATTGTTCATGTGAAATATTAAAGTGACGATGTGAAAGAAAACTGAAAAATAATCAGATGAAGTTAGAACAGTGGGACAAACCCTCAGTTCTTTCTTAGTCAGAATCCCCTTTGTGGTCACCAGGAGATTTGATGGAATAAAGAGTGAATTAGGATTACAGGATTTGAGCCTATAATGTTAACAATTTGGGGGAAATAATTGTAATGCTGCATGATTGAACCTCTATATTTTGTGTAAACAATTGTGCTGAGATGTACAGTTTCTTACTCATATCTATCTTGAAACACACAGAGTAAGGAAAAAACTCCCACACAATCTCCTACTACAAACAACACAGCTCCTTTTGGCCTGAAGCCACGATCAGGTAAGATTGTGAGAAAGAATAAATTACAATAGGGCTTCTTCTCCAGCAAACTCAAGGACTTTTGTTTTCTTATATCTTATCCCCATCCAACAGGAATCAGCAAGTCTCTTTTTAGTTTCTTAAGCCTGTGCTTACTGGTGGTGACTGTTCACTTACAATAGATACATATTTAGTAAGAAAGAGGCGAAAACACTGTCCCAAAAACACTGAAAAAAAGTACAGTAGAAGTACTAACTTTTCAGCACATTTTATATGGATCAGTTTTCATCCCTCATTTTTTTCCATATATAAAAACGCCATATATCTGCCTGATGCACCAATTTAAATCCTATGTTCACCTGGTTGACATATAGAGATACATTTTAAAGCTGTGAATAAATAAATGTATATGATAACAAGGTTTATTTGGGTAATTATTGTGCATTGCTCTGAAAATATATTCATGAGTTTTTCCATAGGAGTATGTATAAATATCAAATTAGGTGTTAACATAACTGCAGTCTGTAGTAGAATGAATTTGTGATGTGCTAAATGCATAATCATTGACATTTTAATTAGTGTGTTCATATAAACCAATTTTAATTGCTAGGACATTAAGAATTAATAATCTCTTTTTAAAATGGGATCAGATGTAGGATGACATTGTTTTTATCTTTTGTTTGCTGAAATATGCAATATTGGAAGTCATCTCACGTTGTCTTTGAAGTATATCATGGCTTAGATTTTTTTTTAATATATTTCACCTTCCTAAAAATGTAATTGTGGTTTCTTTCTTTCACCACTAATACCTTTAATCGAATGCCGGTAAACCACTACAAGCTTGTAGCTTTCGTAATGAAATATCTCAGCAACAGCAGCACATTTTCATATTTGAATGAATTATAAGAAATTGTACCCTTAGAATTTATTAAAACAAAAAAAAGTGATAATGAAACAAAGAAAATGTTGTTGAACCAAAATGGTGTCATTATTGAGAGCATTTAAATTCACCGTTCAGTTGAGATTATGGGAAAGGTATGCAAACCAGGATACCCAAAGGTTTTAGATTTGTTCAGAACCAAGGCTTAAAGGCTTTACAAATTGAAAAGTACAAGCATTCCTGTGTATCCTTACTGCTTCAATTAATTTTAAATATATGCCAACATATCAATGCCCTCCACTCCTGACTACTCAATATAAAAAAAAAAAAAGGACCTCTTATTTTGTATATATGTTAAGTAATTTAGCCCTTATGTCTCTGTTGTTTTTCATATAATATTGAACAGACAACCTGAAAGTCATTATTGCATAGTGCTTTACTTAATAGGTCTGATCTTGCGCACACCGGTTTTGCAAGTGTCATTTCATGGGTTTCAACTGAATTACTCCTGATTTACAACAGAGTAAAACAATGGAATTATGCTGGTGTGAAATCAGAATCAGGTCCAATGTCTTTTCCCATGATATAACATTAGTGTGAGAGGCCTGGTCTATGCTAATGAGTTAAGCTGACCTCAGTTACACTTGTTATTTAGGTAAAGATACATAACTTAAGTCAACGTAGCTTAGATTGATTTACAGTGGTGTCTACATCATGCTATGTCGATGGGAGAGAATCTTCACCAGACCCACTAAATTGATGCCTGCTGGATCGCTGATTTAGCCCATAGTGAAGACGTGCCCTTAGCTGATCATGTGCTATAACCCAGCGTGCTGTGATGAAACATTACAAATGAAATTTGACACCTTGGAAATTACTCACCTCACCTATCCCATTTCCCCCCAAAAAGCAAGTGCTTCATAAAGGCATTAAATCTACTCCTTTAATGTGGTTTACCCACACACTAGAGCTGAAAACAGTGTAGCTGTGAAGATACCTGCCCTATTGGTGAACCTTGTGTGTATTTGCCTTGTGTGTATTTTGACTTGACACATCTCTAATTTCTGCAAGTAATGCCATCATACTTTTCAAGCTTTTTTTCCTTCTTAAAGAATGTACAAATCTAAACCCTTCCACCAGTCAGTGTTTGCTTGTACAAATGTACAAATCTAAACCCTTCCAGACAGTGTTTGCTTCTTAATTACCTCCATCCTTATTGCTGTAGAGCTGGTCTTGGAAGCCAAACATGCTGTGTGCACCAGCAAAGTTAGTATTATAGATTCCAGTTCAGTTTAGAGTTGAGGTTTAATAGCTTTTTTTTTAATAACAGTGCAAGATTTGTTTTAAATGATTCTAACCAAAATTTATAAATCCTGCTCTGGAAAACAAAAACAGAAATAAGAAAGATATGTGATAGAAAAGAAAATACCAGAGGGGGAAAAATGAGGGGGGCAAAATATATTTAAACATGCCCTTCAGAGTTTATATTTTATTTTTCCTATTTGATTCTACTTAAAATTAATGTTTTGCTTTCTATTTAATATTATTTCACTGTGTCATAGTGATTTATGTCTCTAGGAAAGGTAAAAATAAACAGAGTACTAGACTTCTGGTAATAATTCCAGCTTTTTGAAGTACATACACAAAGCCTGCTTCCAGAGGATAAACCACAGTTACTTAGATTTCTCTGTCAGCACATACTAGATCTGTGTTCATGGGTAAAAGTTATTTTTATACCCACATTTTAAGGCTCGCCAAAACATGAGGAAAAATCCATACATGATGCCTAATTAGGTATCCAAAGAAAATGTTTTTTGAAGGTAATGAATATGCTATCTTGACCTTTTGGTCTATACCCTTTTTTAAAAAAGGGTCAAACTGCTATACAGAAGTTAAAAGGAGAAACTCAGTGCATTTTGAATTAGTCTGTCTTATGTATATACTTTTGAAGAGTGGATCTCTCTAATTCACACTAGTGATTGGAAAAACATTAGAACATGACTGAATATTGTAAAGAACTAAGTAATATGAATTTCCTTTTAACAATAATTCTGCTGCTTGGAAACACTTTCATACTCTGAGCAAGAATATCTCAGAACAGTTCATGATTTACTCTTGATTTTCAAATAATTCAAAGCACTGTTAGTAATAGTGGTGCTATTGTAGATAAATTTGAGAATTTCGTAAACTTTTTGCCATCTCATTCACTATAAAACCTTAGTTTTACTCAGAACTTGGTTGGATGTACCCACACCATCTAATACCCTTTGCAGTATTCAAAAGTATTCATTTCTACTTTTGTGCCATTTTTACTTAGTTTTTCTTTCATGACTTTTACTGAACAGAGTGGCTTGCAAGCCTAACTGAGGAGCAATGCTTGTGTCCTCAAAAGCTACATTAAGTACTGAAAAAAAATCAAGATACAAGGCCTTTTGCAGTAGAAATTCCACAGGAAATGAAGACTCGACTGTAAATTATTTAATTGAAACAAAACTCTGAAATACACATCTGTTATCAAGTCCCTTCATTTTGGTAGTCCTAGCGCATTAAAGCAGATTTAGTTTGCATGAACATGTGCTGGAAACTCATTTTTTTTATGTCAGTTGCAAAGAGTAACTGAGAATCAATTAGTAATTATTTTTCTCCTACTCATTAGTTAAAAAAATAGTAACTCTACATCCTCTCATTTATTGTTATGTTTAATTTCTTCCCAGGAAGTGAATTGGCTGATATATGTGTACTTTGGAAACTCATGAGAATCATTTTTAACAAATGAGACTGACAGTGCTGGCAATATTGCTTCAGACACATACTGTTTTAGCAGGTGTTGATCCTACTGGAAGTGTGTTAGGTAGGTTTTGCTGACTCATTGATGCAGCTGGCTCCTTATCCCACAGGAAATAAGTGAGCTTGGAATAGCTAGAGGCAGAGTGAACTGAGGTTTGTAACAGACAAGTTCTAAGGAAAAGAACACTAAGAGCAGCCAAACCTAATGATTTAAACAGGGTGGTGGTTGCGGTATTATTTTTAACTACTCTAGTTAATCTGTCAGATTCCAGAAAGGGTGAATTCTTTTTCTTTCAGTACCTGTAGCTTTATTTGGAGCGGGGTGAGGCTTTTTACTGAGGCTTTAATTATTTTTGCCTTTTTTCCATTTTAATACTTAAAAAATAACTTTTCATTGAACTGGTATAGATCATTGCCTTTTTAAAATCTAAATGCTAATTTTCATGTTTATAATGAATCCAGATTTCTATGAGGTACTGTCAACTCCTCTATTTAAATTGAATTAGGATTACAATTTGGCATTCAAAAAGGCAACATGGCAGTGATTGTAATAGCATCAAAAGACCTCATTCAGGATCAGGGCCCCAGGCTTAAATTGTACATGGTGGAAAACAGGGAGCCAATAAAAGGTTTAAAGAGGGGGATGAGGTGGTGAGAGTGGTGGACAAAGAAGATGATCATTAGCAGCTATGATTTGTAAGGACCATAGGGTGCGGGGTGGGGGGTAGTGTGGGTTTGGGGGAAGCTAGAGAGGAGGAACATCTAGTAATCAAGATGGGAGAGAATGCGACAGTGTAGGTTGGAGATGGAAAGGGAAGAGATTGCTGAGGTTAGTGGAGGGATTTGAAGCACAGGTGAGAAGCCTTGTTATAGATAACTGGAGGAGGAGAAACAGGAGGAAGAAAAGTAGTAGCAGGGAAGACCGTGTTGAGGAGAGAGGATACATTGCCAGTCTTCTCTTTGAAAGAGTCTGCAAGATCTTGTGCAAAGAGGAAAAAGAGTGCAGAAGAGGGGAGGACTTCAGTAGGGTTATCAAAGGTAGGCAAATAGGTGGCTAGGATTGTGGATAAGGAAGTTAATGAGAGGGAAGAAATAGTGCTGCTTGAGCTGGAAGATGACAGCTGAAGAAGGAAAGAATAAAGTCAGGAGGATCATGGAATTTTCTCCATGTTGGAAGGAAAACCAAAGGATCAATGAACTACTAGTAGTCTATCCAGGACAGAAATGGGTATTCTTGAAATAAAAACTTTCCCAGGAAAATCTTAACAATTTTGTTAAACTGTGTTTATTCCACTCTGTGGAAAAAGTGCTCTTCTAACACTGAAAACCTGAAATATATAACATGTTTATTTCC